ACAGAGGAGATGATGAGACAGTTTCGACAAGTACTGGGCTTCCGTCACCAAATCGGCACACGCCAATGTGAACCGTGGAGGATATTTGGTCAAGCGTTTGCGGAGTTGTTTCACGGCCAGTGGCTGTTGTTTGGCGCATTGTGCCAATTGCTGACGGGCATCTTGTTGATTGCGCCACTCATTCTGGCCATTGTTGCTATTGTTATTGTCTGTGTGAAGGACAATCCCCGAAACGTCCCAGACTTGACAAAAGCCTCCTTCACCCAACAATTTGCCAATCACCAATTCGTTGTGGTCCAACAAGGGAATACTACTGCTAGTGCTAGTAGTAGTAGACTCGCACAAGAAGGGTGCCTTGCTGGACATGTCATTCACGTACTCGTCCACTACTCCGGCTGCTTTCTTGACAATGCGTCCCCGCATGTGATGCGCTGGATTCAGGGTCTTTTGAAAGAGATTGGTGATGCTACCATTCAGCATGCTACCCGTGCTCCGTTGGCGTCGGTGTTTGCTCGCCATCTTGTCTTATTATTGGATTGGTTAATGGAAGGATATGAATGTGTATCACGATATCACTACTTGATGATGAGTGAATTCGGATTGGGTGGGGTAGCCTTGCCAAGAGTGTGATAATCAATCAATCAATCCTGTGGTTGGTACCGCTGGGTATAGGACGTTATAGATAGATATTGTGGCACACAACCAAATAGCAGACAACTTTTTGTTTCTCTTCCGCAAACACAGAGTGGCTACAATGGGGAAGATAACCAAAATGGGGAAGATAATAGTCGAACCACCAAACTTTGCAAGTCCAACCTCACCAAACCACTCAAGAAGTGAGCCAAAAGAAGGAATGAGAGTGCGGCAATAGCTGTATGAGCTGCTGTATGTGACAATGGTTGTTTCTCGGAAGCGGAGAAGAGCTCTATTCCGTGTGACCAAATTCAACGGGAAGATGAGGCATTTAACGAAAGTGCAACCAACCGGTAAACGCAAAGCCACCGGATAGCAGCACCTCCATGGCATCGCATCATCGCATCAATCATGTTGCATTGGGTTTTTTGACTGAACCTTCAGGATAAAGGAAACGCCGGATAGACTAGCTAGTAATAAGTTGATACATACTCCTTGCATGTACCGGTACTAGTAGCTAGGATAAACTTTCTGACCGATAGTGGGTTTGTGGCGCTCAGCCACTCCAGCAGAGGGTACCGTATCTGAATGATACTGCAGCAAGCCTTATCAGTCCACTCTTTACAAAAACTGAAACCATTGGCAAGAGCTAGACAATGCATTGTTGGACGAAAAGGACTGGCTAAGAAATCCACGGTGTACCTGAAGTTTTTTTATTGTAGCTAACCTACCTGCTTGCAGAGACAGTACGGTAGCATATCTTCAGCAACCTAGCTAGCCCAACCTAGTAGTTTCCACCTTCGGGTACCAGCGTTCCGCGGCCAGCGAAGACTATCATCCACAGTGAGGCATCCCAGTGATCTGATTGTCCGCACTGGGCCACTGGACAACCCATTGTGTTTTCTCTCATCTCCCTTTTATATTCGCCAGGTCGAAGCTTAAGAGTTAAATTAATTAAGCACGCAAGTGCTACCAAGTTAGAATTCACCAACTGACTCGTTCGTTGAACGCCACGACCAACAACTCGATGGTCGAGTCTTAACCTGGAAGATTTACGTCACTCTAGTCGTTTGTATGCTTCAAACTTTATTCATTATCTTCATGGCTGATGATTAATTTTAGCCATTTTTGGCGATTAACTCCTGGAGGCTCCTTTGTCACACATCCCTAAGGAGAGAAAGCTTTGGTGGTGGAGCAGGAGATAAAGGAACGCCATCCTTGTTCCACTGAAATCCCTGAAGAGAAACGGTTGCCCTCCTGCAAGCGAGCCATTCCAGGTTCCCCCCTCGAAAAAGGCGGGAGTGATCAGAGTTGTTCTCCTCCATTTCTTGGTCACTCCGCCGCGAGAGTCAGAGTTGAGGGCAAAAGCGGTAGAAGCAGTAATGTGATTGGCTAATAAACCTATGACATCAGCAAATGGTCACAAAGATTCAAATATACTTAACGTACCATTTATAGATTACAGAGCATGTGCTACCAATTCGCGTTTCTTCTTTTCTTTCGCGAAAAGAAAGAGATTCCATCGGATCCAGCGAAAATCGACAATGACATTCACTTGCCGCTCCTCGAAGTCATTATCTCCGGCCAAAAAGCCAGTAGCAGGGCAGCAGCAAAAGAACCAGAGCACCAACAGCAGCTACACCACAAATGGAGGGATGGGCTGCCAAAGTCAAAAAGGAACTCGCAACAGAAGAGAGCCTACAACGGCCACCAACAACAACAACAGATCCAAGAGAGCCAGAGAAGAAGGACCCAAACAACCTGGGAGGAGAGGTAGCAGAAGGCTTTGATCCGTTGAAGAAGTGTGTCATCTGTAAGGCAGACATCTTGGTCTCAGATCCCAAAAAGATCACACCACGTTCTCTGTATTAAGAATACAGTAACAAGAGAAGAGGAGATTTGAATGAGCTGATAATGGAAACTATCAGAGAGAGCAGAAGACTCACAAGGCTTCAGTGCTCCTCTTCCACTAATGAGAGAGGAAGCTGGAAGAACTCAACAAGAGTGTACTGGGGAATACTACTTGAATAGAGGGATCTTGTAGAGGTAGCTACCCCGACGAGATCAACTGCAACTATTCAAGACGAGTGCAGGGTAAATGCAAAGTTCGCTCTTAGTAATTCATAATCTGTTTGTGAGCTTTGATTGATGCTCAGTAAAGCTAGTTGTAGCGTGTTGATCAATACATCGTGGTAGTTGATACGGAAGTAAACGTGTATCTGCGGGAAAGGTTCGTTGGCAGGATGCTTTACTCTGTCGAATACTCCAATTTACGTGTCCTTTGGTTTCGTTGAGAACGTGTTCTTGCCAGCGTTCTCTTGTCCATCGTGTTACTCATAAAACATGACTCAATCTACTCACGGATACTCTGAGTCGTGGAGGAACTGTAAGCTTTCACTCCCCTCAGTGGCGACTGTCGACTCTGAGTTTTTCTTACCGCAATCCTTGGTATTCCTGACCAAAACAGCAGTGCATTCAGCATAGGCCATACGATGTATAGTCCCAGTGTTTGCTGAGGATATCTGCAGGGTTAGTAGATCCAGGGATATGATGAAATCTCAAGAAACTTGCAGCAACGGCTTCCCTAGTACGTGGTAGAAAGCGCATTGTGTCTTTTGAGATTCTTTGAGTGTGGCATCGAGGCGGTGTGTACTACCGTCTCGTTGTCTCCGAACATCATGTCGGTGTGTCGACCAGTACTCCTAGGTACCTGACGTGCTCCGTAGGTCAATGATCTGTTCAGTGGCGGTACGGGCTGCAACATACTCAGATCCGAAGTTGCGGTCTCGACTGTTACTGTAGCTTGCTGAACCAGTCGATGGGAGTCTTGTTCGCTAGGTGTTAGGACTCCGGTAACTGACGTCGACTGATGAGATCGTGATAGAGGTCGCATCCACATATGTGGTGAGAATGACCCGTTTGCCTCGAGGTACCGGTGCGTTGCGGCTGAACTTCTTTGGCACCATGGTAGCATGAGATTCCCATTCGTACTCTTTCTTGGAATCGCTGAGTAATCCGGTTCCCTCTTTCGGATACGTATGATGCCGTGTCGATCTTGGAAAGGTACCCGCAGATTCTCTTGACTCGCTCTAAGTGACCCATTCTTGGTGCTGCCGAAATCTGGACATCGTCATGGTGGCCGTGGCGATATCGAACCTTCCAATTTGGATTGCCACTGTAGACTACCGATGAGTGACTGATATATCTTTTGTGTGTCCATATCGAGTAGCTCTGTTGTGTCAGTTCCTGGGTGGTCTCCTTTGATGAGTGGAAATGAGACTTGTTTGGGCATGTGTCCAAAGATCGTTTGTGTAGTTGCTGAGTACTTCTCAATTTATTTGCGAGGTGCGTAACTCAGTACCCCGTTCTCATCACGGAAGAAATCACATCCTAGGTGGAAGCTGATGGCACCGGTTCCTTTAGTTTGAACTTGTGCTCCCCTTCCAATGTCGCGATATCTTGATGCGTCTTTGCTGACAATAAGAGGTCGTCTAGTACACAGGATGTATTCGTAGTAGCTCCCTTTGTCTCTCATCCAGATGTCTGATTCGGCTTTTGAAGGAAAGAATCCATCGAACGAAGAACATCTGCAAATCGTTCATGCCATCGTAACCCAGAAGACTTGAGTCCGTATAGGGCACGGCTGATGATGAGGTGCATCCTTCTCGATCTCCAAATTCGGGTCCTGCGACAACGTACACCTCTCTTTCGTATATGATTCCAAGTAGGCGTTTCCAATGTCTGTTGCCCATAATCACAATCATTGAGTTCTCGAGGAATGTGAGGATACGAATCCCTCGTAACGAAACCACACTGGAATAGAGAGTCTACTGGTGTATCATGTAGATGTCCTCCAGCGACAGTCGTGCTTTGTGTCGCCCATCGTGTTTGACTGCGTACACATATGCACTCGAATCTTCTTCCAATCTGTTCCAGGTTATGTCCCTTTCCTTTGTTAATGAAGGTCTCGTACTCATCAATCTGATTAACTCGATCATCTCGGCATCTCTCCACTTGGTATCTCCATTTCGTGCGTCTAGTTCCATGGCTTGTCATGGTTGCGCGGACTTGGAATCCGTACATGAAACGGGCTTGGTCCTGAAGGAGTGAAGCTTTGTCTTGGTTAGCCGCTCGTACGAGTCGCTTTTGAGTCTTTGCGATCTTCTTGAGCCCTGGTAGTTCCATCCAACTGTGTCTAGTAGACCGTGCTCTTCAGCATAGATGGGGACCGTGACTGGATCAGACTCATGTACTCCCATCTTGTCTTGGTGGTAAGAGGCTCCCAAGTTATCTCTCCGGTTTCCCATTCAACTTGTACGTTGTACGTGAACCCTTGTATCGTTCTTGTCAGATGATTTGATGGGACCTTGGTGATCCAAGATCTTGCGAAACTTCCATGTGCCATCCAAGTTTGGTCTTGTTCAATGTAGTCCACGATATCGTTGTAGGCTAGATTTCCTCGTACTCGTCTTTGACTCTGCATTTGAACTTGATCATGTCGGGATGTTGTTGAACCTTCTCCTTGTGTATTTGACTCTTTCAAGGATCTTGGCTCTTACTCGGGTTCCACTTCTGCGGGTGGCATGAGAAAGTTTCTTTCTAACATCTGTTCAGGAGGTAGTCCTGATTGGGTGGGATTTCAGTCTTCATGTGCCGTTTGTTGAAGATGAATGGCTCCTCCGCACTGATGATCCTTCTCAGGCTCATCCTTCTGATGGTTCGGGATGTTGTCATCATCGTCATTGACCGTTTTTACCTGGGGCATCTCTCTGAGAGGGGTTCGTCCATTGGAGTATTCTCTTCTAGAATGTCTCCCCTATTCTCCCCTCTTCTTCGTCATCGTCTGAAGGTCAAAAGGGCTCTGGTTCATGTCGATAGTGGGCAGTCTAGCATCATCGCCTTCTTCGTCTCTTTTAGACCTGACGTATATGCGCTCTGGGATTGCTCCTGACTCGACATCAAGTTTAAGGTTGTTGATCCCTTCCTTTGCGAGTCTGACTCTGGACCGACATATGATCTGTTTGGTATCATCGGTAAGATCTTGAAGGTGAGTTGATGTCCAACGTTCCGGCAAATCCAACGAAGCGTCACGAATCTCTGAAGACTTGTTGTGTCCGGGCTGGCATTGTACCCTTGGTCTTTGTATCGTGGAACATAAACAACATCCCAGATAGGAATACGAGCAGAATGCTGATATCCACGGTTTGTCCAGTGAGAACTTCAAGTGGTGGTCTCCATCCGGTCGATTTCTCTGATGTATGGTTCATAACATCGCCTATCCATTGCATGCACAGTAACCAGGCTTCGGCATCACACGTTCCGCCAGTTCATGAACCAGTTATGGTTGCGTTTAAGATGTTTCCATCTGTGTTCTGCGAAGTTTTGATGCTGGTAGTGGGGTTCAGATTGCCAATCGTCAATGCATAGCGCACGAAGTATCTCTTTTACTCGCGCGGAAGTCTGTGCTGAGTGTCCATCCGAGATAAGCTTGTCCATGCTCCCCTTGTTCGTATGAACATCCTCAAGGGTGTTGACAAAACCGCAGTGAGCCCACCGAACATACACAGAATACCACTCGAACGGCCACCAACGACGATTAATACACGCCACCTCAACATCTTGACAGATTCTGTCCGGCCATCCTACAATTAAATTTGGTACGCGCGAGATGGCATAATGAACCAGTTTGCTTACGGACACTATCTTGCAGACAAACGCGCATTTGCAAAAAACGAAGGTAAATGATGGACAAATCTTTCATATTGGGGTAAATGTTGTCCTCGATGTATTCTGGTATGTCTTCCAACTGCGGTTTTGTCAAACACCCTTGAGGATGAAATACGAACAAGGGGAGCAAAGGACAAGCTCATCTCGGATGGACACTCATCACAGACTTCCGCGCGAGTAGAAGAGATACTTCGTGCGCTATTCATTGACGATTTGCAATCTGAACCCCACTACTAGCATCAAAACTTCGCAGAGCACAGATGGAAACATCTTAAACGCAACATAACTGGTTCATGAACTTGCGAAACGTTGATCCCGAGGCTTGGTTACTGTGTATGCAATGGATAGGTGATTTTATGAACCATACATCAGAGAAATCGCCCGGATGGAGAACACCACTTGAAGTTATCACTGGACAAACCGTGGATATCAGCATTCTGCTCGTATTCCTATTCTGGGATGTTGTTTATGTTCCACGATACAAAAACCAAGGGTACAATGCCCAGCCCGGACACAACAAGTCTTCAGAGATCCGTGGACGCTTCGTTGGATTTGACTGGAACGTTGGACATCAACTCACCTTCAAGATCTTCACCGATGATACCAAACAGAGCATATGTCGGTCCAGAGTCAGACTCGCAAAGGGAGGGATCAACAACCTTAAACTTGATTTCGAGTCAGGAGCAATCCCAGAGCGCGTATACGTCAGTCTAAAAGAGACGAAGAAGTCGATGATGCCAGACTGCCCACTATCGACATGAAACAGAGCCCTTTTGACCTTCCAGACGATGACGAGAAAGGGGAGATAGGGGAGACCATTCTAGAAGAGAATTCTCCAATGGACGAACCGCCTCTCAGAGGGATGCCCCAGGGAGAAACGGTCAATGACGATGATGACAACATCGCGAACCATCAGAAGGATGGGCCTGAGAAAGGATCATCTAGTGCCGAGGAGCCATCTTCATCTTCAACAACGGCACATGAGGACTGACAATCCCACCGAATAAGGACTACCTCCTGAACAGATGTTAAAAAGAACCTTTCTCTTGCCACCCGCAGAAGATGGAACCCGAGTAAAAGCCAAGATCCTTGAAAGAGTCAAATACCACAAGGAGAAGGTTCAACAACATCCCGACATGATCAAGTTCAAATTCAGAGTCAACGACGAGTACGAGGAAATCGTAGCTTACAACGATATCGTGGACTACATTGAAAAAGACCAAACTTGGGATGCCACATGGAAGTTCCGCAAGAGATCTTGGGATCCACCAAGGTTCCCATCAAATCATCTGACAAGAAACGATACAAGGGTTCACGGTTCAACGTACAAGTTGAATGGGAAACCGGAGAAGGATAACTTGGGAGCCTCTTACCACCCAAAGACAAGATGGGAGTACATGAGTCTGATCCAGTCGACTGGCGCCATCTATGTGAAGAGCCCGGTCTACTAGACACAGTTGATGGCAAACTACCAGGGCTCAAGAGGATCGCAAAGACTCAAAAACGACTCGTACGAGCGGCTAACCAAGCAAAGCTTCACTCCTTCAGGACCAAGCCGCGTGTTCATGTAAGGATTCAAAGTTCCACGCAACCATGATCAAGCCATGGAACTAGAGCACGAAATGGAGATACCAAGTGAGAGATGCCGAGATGATTGAGCTTAATCAGATTATATAGTACGAGACCTTCATCACACAAAGGAAAGGGACATAACCTTGGACCAGATTGGAAGAAGATCGAGTGCATATGGTTACGCAGTCAAACACGATGGGCGACACAAAGCAAGACTTGTCGCTGGAGGACATCTCACTTATACACCAGTAGACTCCGTCTATTCCAGTGTGGTTTCGTTAGAGGGATTCGTATCCTCACATTCCTCGCAGAACTCATGATTGTGAGGTATGGCAACAGACATTGGAAACGCCTACTTGGAATCATATACGAAAGAGAAGGTAGTACGTTGTCGCAGGACCCGAATTGGAGATCGAGAAGGATGCACCCTCATCATCAGCCGTGCCCTATACGACTCAAGTCTTCTGGGTTACGATGGCATGAACGATTTGCAGATGTTCTTCGTTCGATGGGATTCTTTCCTTCAAAAGCCGAATCAGACATCTGGATGAGAGACAAAGGGAGCTACTACGAATACATCGCTGTGTACGTAGACGACCTCCTTATTGTCAGCAAAGACGCATCCAAGATCATCGCGACATTGGAAGGGAGCACAAGTTCAAACTAAAGAACCGGTGCCATCAGCTTACACCTAGGATGTGATTTCTCCGTGATGAGAACGGAGTATCTGAGTTACGCACCTCGCAAATATATTAGAAGGTACTCAGCAACTACCAACGAATCTTCGGACACATGCCCAAACAAGTCTCATCTCCACTCATCAAAGGAGAACCACCCAGAGACTGACACAACAGAGCTACTCGATTGGACACACAAAAGATATATCAGTCACTCATCGGTAGTCTACAGTGGGCCATCCAAATTGGAAGGTTCGATATCGCCACGGCCACCATGACGATGTCCAGATTTCGGCAGCACCAAGAATGGGTCACTTAGAACGAGTAAGAGAATCTGCGGTACCTTTCCAAGATGCGACACGGCATCATACGTATCCGAAAGGAGAACCGGATTACTCAGCGATTCCCAAGAAAGAGTACGAATGGAATACTCATGCTACCATGTGCCAAAGAAGTTCAGCCGCACAACGCACCGTACCTCGAGGCAAACGGGTCATCTCACCACATATGTGGATGCGAACCTCTCACGATCTCATCAGTGGCCGATCAGTTACCGGAGTCCTACACCTAGCGAACAAGACTCCCATCGACTGTTCAGCAAGCTACAGTCAACAGTCGAGACCGCACGTTCGGATCTGAGTATGTTGCAGCCCGTACCGCCACTGAACAGATCATGAACTACGGAGCACGTTCAGGTACCTAGAGTACTGGTCACACACCGACCATGATGTTCGGAGACAACGAGACGGTAGTCAACACCGCCTCGATGCCACACTCAAAGATTCTCAAAAGACACAATGCGCTTTTCTACCACCGTACTAGGGAAGCCGTTGCCGCAAGTATCTTGAGATTTCATCATATCCCTGATCTACTAACCCTGCAGATATCCTCAGCAAACACTGGGACTATACATCGGTATGGCCTATGCTGAATGCACTGCTGTTTTGGTCAGAGATACCAAGGATTGCGGTAAGAAACACTCAGAGTCGACAGTCGCCACTGAGGGGAGTGAAAGCGTTACAGTTCCTCCCACGACTCAGAGATCCGTGAGTAGATTGAGTCATGTTTATGAGTCAACACGATGGAACAGAGAACGCTGGCAAGAACACGTTCTCAACGAAACCAAAGGACACGGTAAATTGGAGTATTTATTCGACAGGAGTAAAGCATCCTGCCAACGAACCATTTCCCGCAGATACCACGTTGACTTCCGTATCAACTACCACGATGTATTGATCCAACACGCTACAACTAGCTTTACTGATCGCATCAATCAAAGCTCACAACACAGATTATGAATTACTAAGAAGCGAACTTTGCATTTACCTTGCACTCGTCTTGAATAGTTGCAGTTGATCTCGTCGGGTGGTAGCTACCTCTACAAGATCCCTCTATTCAAGTAGTATTTCCCCACGTTAGCACTCTTGTTGAGTGCTTCCAGCTTCCTCTCTCATTCAGTGGAAGAGGAGCACTGAAGTGCCTTGTGAGTCTTCTGCTCTCTCTGATAGTTTCCATTATCAGCTCATTCAAATCTCCTCTTCCTCTTGTTACTGTATTCTTAATACAGAGAACGTGGTGTGATCTTTTTGGGATTCTGAGACCAAGATGTCTGGCCTTACAGATGACACACTTCTTCAACGGATCAAAGCCTTCTGCTACCTCTCCTCCCAGCGTTGTTTGTGGTCCTTCTTCTCTGGCTCTCTTGGATCTGTTGTTGTTGTTGGTGGCCAGTTGGTAGGCTCTCTTCTGTTGCGAGTTCCTCTGTTGACTTTGGCAGCCCATTCCTCCATTGTGAGTGGTAGCTGCTGTTGGTGGCTCCATGGTCCTCTTTTGCTGCTGCTGCTACTGGCTTTTTGGCCGAGTTAATGACTGTCGAGTTGAAAAGCAACGGCAGCATGTCATTGTCGATTTTTCGCGATGGAATTCCCGATGGAATCCTTCTTTCGGTTTTCGCGAAAGAAGAAATCCGCGATTTGGTAGCACACTAGCTCTGTAATCTTTATAAACGGTACGTTAAGTATATTTGAATCTTTGCTGACGCATTTGCTGATGTCATAGGTTGATTAGCCAATCAGATCACTGCCTTCTACCGCTTTTGCCCTCAACTCTGACTCTCGCGGCGGAGTGACCAAGAAATGGAGGAGAACAACTCTGATCACTCCCGCCTTTTTCGAGGGGGGAACCTGGAATGGCTCGCTTGCAGGAGGGCAACCGTTTCTCTTCAGGGATTTCAGTGGAACAAGGATGGCGTTCCTTTATCTCCTGCTCCACCACCAAAGCATTTCTCTCCTTAGGGATGTGTGACAAAGGAGCCTCCAGGAGTTAATCGCCAAAAATGGCTAAAATTAATCATCAGCCATGAAGATAATGAATAAAGTTTGAAGCATACAAACGACTAGAGTGACGTAAATCTTCCAGGTTAAGACTCGACCATCGAGTTGTTGGTCGTGGCGTTCAACGAACGAGTCAGTTGGTGAATTCTAACTTGGTAGCACTTGCGTGCTTAATTAATTTAACTCTTAAGCTTCGACCTGGCGAATATAAAAGGGAGATGAGAGAAAACACAATGGGTTGTCCAGTGGCCCAGTGCGGACAATCAGATCACTGGGATGCCTCACTGTGGATGATAGTCTTCGCTGGCCGCGGAACGCTGGTACCCGAAGGTGGAAACTACTAGGTTGGGCTAGCTAGGTTGCTGAAGATATGCTACCGTACTGTCTCTGCAAGCAGGTAGGTTAGCTACAATAAAAAAACTTCAGGTACACCGTGGATTTCTTAGCCAGTCCTTTTCGTCCAACAATGCATTGTCTAGCTCTTGCCAATGGTTTCAGTTTTTGTAAAGAGTGGACTGATAAGGCTTGCTGCAGTATCATTCAGATACGGTACCCTCTGCTGGAGTGGCTGAGCGCAGCACAAACCACTATCGGTCAGAAAGCTTTATCCTATGCTACTAGTACCGGTACTGCAAGGATATGTATCAACTTATTACTAGCTAGTCTATCCGGCGTTTCCTTTATCCTGAAGGTTCAGTCAAAAAACCCAATGCAACATGATTGATGCGATGATGCGATGCCATGGAGGTGCTGCTATCCGGTGGCTTTGCGTTTACCGGTTGGTTGCACTTTCGTTAAATGCCTCATCTTCCCGTTGAATTTGGTCACACGGAATAGAGCTCTTCTCCGCTTCCGAGAAACAACCATTGTCACATACAGCAGCTCATACAGCTATTGCCGCACTCTCATTCCTTCTTTTGGCTCACTTCTTGAGTGGTTTGGTGAGGTTGGACTTGCAAAGTTTGGTGGTTCGACTATTATCTTCCCCATTTTGGTTATCTTCCCCATTGTAGCCACTCTGTGTTTGGCGGAAGAGAAACAAAAAGTTGTCTGCTATTTGGTTGTGTGCCACAATATCTATCTATAACGTCCTATACCCAGCGGTACCAACCACAGGATTGATTGATTGATTATCACACTCTTGGCAAGGCTACCCCACCCAATCCGAATTCACTCATCATCAAGTAGTGATATCGTGATACACATTCATATCCTTCCATTAACCAATCCAATAATAAGACAAGATGGCGAGCAAACACCGACGCCAACGGAGCACGGGTAGCATGCTGAATGGTAGCATCACCAATCTCTTTCAAAAGACCCTGAATCCAGCGCATCACATGCGGGGACGCATTGTCAAGAAAGCAGCCGGAGTAGTGGACGAGTACGTGAATGACATGTCCAGCAAGGCACCCTTCTTGTGCGAGTCTACTACTACTAGCACTAGCAGTAGTATTCCCTTGTTGGACCACAACGAATTGGTGATTGGCAAATTGTTGGGTGAAGGAGGCTTTTGTCAAGTCTGGGACGTTTCGGGGATTGTCCTTCACACAGACAATAACAATAGCAACAATGGCCAGAATGAGTGGCGCAATCAACAAGATGCCCGTCAGCAATTGGCACAATGCGCCAAACAACAGCCACTGGCCGTGAAACAACTCCGCAAACGCTTGACCAAATATCCTCCACGGTTCACATTGGCGTGTGCCGATTTGGTGACGGAAGCCCAGTACTTGTCGAAACTGTCTCATCCCCACATTGTCCCCATTCGCGCCATGACCAAGGGACACTTGACCAGTATGCAACAAGACGGACGCTACGATGCATACTTTTTCGTCATGGACCAGTTGGAAGCGACACTCGATCAACGCATTCATCACTGGAGACGAGGGTCCGAACCTATGCCGGAATACGCCACCAAATTGGACTATGCCTTGCAAATGGCGTCCGCTCTGCAGTATTTGCATCAACGACGCATCATCTTTCGCGATGTCAAGCCCGCCAACATTGGCTTTCGTTCGGACAATCGACAATTGCAATTGTTCGATTTTGGACTCTGTCGCGAATTGCCGCTGCCACGGAACAACACGGACAGCAATATGATGGACAATAACAACACAGACAATAGTACTTTTATGGATGCCTCGGAATACTCCACGGTCAGCCACCGCACTGAGGACGAAGACGACGACGAAGATGATGACGATGTCGATCTCGACGATTACTACTTGATGACCAAGGTCGGAACTCGTCGCTATGCCGCCGTCGAAATGTTCATTAGTGGTCGCTACAATGAAAAAATTGATTGCTACTCCTGGGCCATGACGGTCTTTGAAATGGTTTCACTCTGCAAACCATTTGCGTCACTCTCCGATGCGGATCACCAAGAATTGGTCTGTGCCCAAGGACGACGACCCAATACCAAGGCATTTTTGCAAATGTGCGAACAACCACCCCGAGGAGAACCACAGCCGCTCTTGAAATTGGTTCGCGAGGCGTGGGAACAGTACGTGAGGTACCGGATTGATATTCATACCATTGTGGAACGACTCGAAGAAATCATTCAAGACCGACGACAACAAGATGGATCCTATCCGGAACAACAACAACAGGACAAGGCGGCTGATTCGGTCGTTTCGGCGACGACGGTCACTGTCACGGAATCGGATCACGAAGAACTCTTGGCGTGCGGTACCGGCGACACTCCGGACAACAACAACAATCCCTCGGCTCCGGCTGTGGCAACTCCCGAGGACGATGCTCGATCCATTCACTCCTTGATTGTGGTGACGACAACAACAACTGGAGGAGGGGCTAACGCGAGCATTGCCGGAAGTCGGCACTCCAACCTATCGTCGCCCTCGTTGGATCCCGATTCCAGAAGTGGCAATTACAACAATTACAGCCACAATAACAGTCACAATGGAGAATTGTGGGGCGACGATTCCATTAATTCGGCCGAGATGACGGGAGGCATGATGATGGATACGTCGCTCAATCACATTGTCTTTGATGAGCTCTTGCAACATCGACGAAGGGCCGCCGACTTTTTGGAGGTGCCGGCTCTGTCGCCCTTGGGATCGCCCACCACCGATCAACACAAGAAGGGTGCTCATCCAAAGAAGGAAGTGTCGTCTGATGCGGCGGCGGCATTGACACCCCCCTCCTTGCTCATTGCCAAACCCACCACGTTGAGCCGAATCGTTTCGGGCGGGGAACTGGAGCTCAAGGACAGTCCAGAGCGAAACGCGGAAATTGAACGGCAACTCGAGCCATTGCCACAAGAAGAAGAAGAAAATTGAAGGGCTACACACCCGCACAAGTGTTGATTCTGTATATTGATGTTTTGTGTTCGTATTGTATTGTATGCAGTTCTGTGTCATGACGTTATTAAGAGCAAGTCGAATTGCATGGCAAGATGAAAGAACCTGCATTGCCTTGGATGCAGATAGATGTGAAATATTAGTATGTTTAGACAAGTTTCTTTGTCATGTGCCTGTACTGTAGAACAATCACGTACCATCACCGCTGCTGTCTGGCTTTCATCAGATACTCCTTATGCTCCTGTCTCTCGTTGGTTTGCGTCGTTCGTTGTCTGGCATGAGGCAACTGGATTGTCAACAATTTCAACCGACGTGCTCCCTCCAAGGTTAAAAGAGGACGGAAAGGGGTATTCGTTCCCATCACACCCACTCGTCTCGTTCATCGTACGGTACCGTAGCTATGGTTGCCGCCCGTCTCCTGGCAAATTTGGTTATGTTAAAACAGATGCGACCTAGTACTAGGTATTGGCCAGCTACTAGCATCCGGCACGTACGATAGCTCTCATTTTGTACGATTTTGCTGTTCGACGTCAACAAATGCAGCCAATAGCACGTCATTGCTTCCCAGGGGCGGCCCATTCATTCTCATGGGCACCCACAAATGTATAATCATCCCAGGGACTTCCTACACCCACACAATGTCATGTATAATCAATCACCCCAGAGGCATCCATTCTCAAGAGCATACTTTGTTAGTAGACTGTAACCTCCTTCCACAGCAGCCATGGATGTGGATGCATCACATTCGCAACCATTCTCTCCGGCATATTTCAGAACGCCCAGGTGACCACACCTCGCAGCACCCATGCATGTGGTTGCATCCCATGGGCATCCATTCTCTTTGGCATATTGCAGAATGGCCGAGTGGCCACGAACTGCTGCAGCACCCTGCATGTGGAAGCACATTCTCATGGGCCCATTAAAAAATGAAGGATGCTCAAGTGACCACTTTGTGCTGAAAACTTGCAGGTTGTTTCATCCCACAAACATCCATCCTCCCGGGCCCATTTCCCTACTCTAGCTAGCAACACCAGAACAAGGAGGGGCGATCAGCCAACCAAGTTTGACCCCAATAAAGAACCGTGTTTTGCCGTGGTCACGGGAAGTGCGCTTGTCGTGGAGGCAAGCGTGGGAAGCAACCGTAGAGTTACGGGTTAGGGCTGTTCTCAACGGTCAAAAAGAGCCATTCCGAGTTGCTTCCAACAGCCAACACGCAATTTCCCACAGACTTGAGGGTATCCACACTTACTTTCATTATTATTCTATCATCAGCACTACCATGACCAAGACTAAAGCCGCTCCGACCAGCCGTAGCAGAGCTGAAATTGCTGCACTGGTTCAGCAACGTGTGAACGAACGAGAGGCGTGGCTGGTGGATGGCGAGCCCCAAGGGAAAAAGAGTCTGTTGAAAGAGGCCAACCAATTCGTAGGGGATGTCGCGCCCAAACTGGCTCTGTTTCGGCCTCCTTCCCAGGCATTTCTCGATGAGCATTTTCCAGTCCAATACTTTGACTATGAAAAGTGGGAGCAGCTGCGGCACCCTCCACTGGAAAAAATCCAAGTGACTTGGATGAGCCATGCTTCTGTGCTGTTTCAGATTCAAGGATGTTCCGTATTGGCTGATCCCGTCTTTTCGCAACGTTGTGCTCCCACTCAGTGGAATGGACCCAAACGGTATCGATCTCCTCCCTGCACCATTGCTGAGTTGTGCCATCACTTGCTCATTGATGTGGTGATCATTTCCCACAATCACTATGATCACTTGGATTTTGCCAGTGTGAGAGATATTCACAAATTCTCACCAGCGACGACGTTTGTGGTTCCATTGGGATTGAAGCTGTGGTTTCACAAAAAGATATCCAAGCACGCTCTGGTGCAAGAGCTGGATTGGAATGAACACTATGATTACAACTACAACCCCGCTGGGTCCAGTGCCATTGGTGCTACAAGGCAGTCGTTACGCATTACCAGCGTCCCCATGAGGCATTGGTCCAGTCGGCTTGGAGTGGACCGAGATAAGACACTCTGGTGTGGATACAGTATGGCCACTCATAGCGATGACGATGATGATCAAAAGGCTCCAACAGCTGTTCCAACGCAAAAGGCTCTCTTCCCTGGGGACACTGCCTGGTTTGATAGTATGCAGGAATTGGTGGGTGAAGCATATGGTCCATTTGATGTTGCTGCTATTCCTATTGGTGCCTATGAACCACGAGGCTTTATGAAACACAATCACATCAATGTGGAGGAAGCTGTCAAAATGATGGATGCTTGCCGTGCTGTCAATGCTGTGCCAATTCACTGGGGAACCTTCCCGTTGACGATAGAACCCGTATTGGAACCTCGGGAGCGATTGGAGTCACTCATGAAGGACCGTGTTGCTCCTGGATCCTTTGGATCCTGGTTGATTGGTGAAACCAAGCAGTTTAGTGCTGGCAGAGGTGCGGTGTAGAATGGCAGTTCCAAGACAATCAGCACAGGAGAGCACTTGCAACGAGGGCATTTGCCACCGATACCATACACAGTCACTAGCAGAGCGTCACAGGCGGATCTTCTCAATAGTATATGCATCTATAGGTTATTCTCAAGGTTACAAAAACACGACCGCATCACATACATGCTCGGAGGCACCTAAACTTCTAACGACTCTGTCGAGTACACACTGATGTTGTCCAACTCCGGCTCGTCCATGCTGTTGCTGGCCGCGGCATTGCCTGTCTGGGTAAGCTCCTTTTCTGGTTCCGCATCTGCTTCTTCGTCAGATATGGAGTCGAGAGGGCCAAACATGGACAGAAGAACAGGGAGCAGGATCAACCCGTGCAAAAGACCCAAGAGGACAAGGCCAAAGAAGATGATGAAAGTCGTAAAGAAGATTTCACTGGAACTGAGGGCCAGCGGAAGGACACCAAGCAAAGTTGAGATTCCTCCAATCAACACAGAAGCTCCAATTGTCTCGAGAGTTTCAGTAGTCTTTTGGGTGCGGCTTTCTCCCTTGGTTTCCACGTATCGTAGAGTGACGTGCATAACAAAATCAACCATCAGCCCGATACTCATGACGGTACTGATATACATGACAGGATTGACTGCGAGTCCACAGAGTTCAATGAAGCCCAGCAGGTCAATGTAAAGGATGGCCACAATGGGGCCCACAAACAGAATTGCTGTCCAATGCGGGATGAAGATGAGCGCGAGGAATGAGACGGAAACCACTCCAATGATCGTGGTGAGGCGCAATTCATCGGGAGAAACGAGGTAGAACTCCCAGATGTAGTAGTCTTCGGCCCAGGTGAAGAAAGCCCATTCATCCTTATCCTTGTTGATGAGCTGGTTGGCGGAGATGCTGCGTTGGAGCTCCAATGCGGCCACAACTTCCAAGACATTCTCTTCGTCAATGTTGTCGAGCCTGATGAGGGTACGAGACGCGGTCATGACTCCTTCCTCATTCAAGACAATGTCTTCGTGGTGGGCATCGTAGTGAAGAGGATTCTCCAAGAACAATTTGATCTGCTCCTCAAAGACCAAGGACTCAATGTTCTCGCTTGCAACAAACTCGCGGAAGTCGCGAAGCCAGAAGCTGAAGGGTTCGTTCTCGCCTGAGTATGGCATTGCGGCCAACTCCTGAACGTAAGATTCCATTTGGTCTTGGATATCTTGGCTGGAGAAGTCGACATCTCGGAAGTAGACACCAGCCCGGACTCCGTTGGCTTCGTAGTAGTCGTTGTAGGATGTCCACCAACCTTGGATGTAAGAGTCCGCGGGGATGATCTTGGTGAAGTCGAAGTACTGCCTCAACTCGGATGTCCTCCAAGAGAAGAAAGCTAGCATACCGGCAAAGAAGGCAATCACGACCCATTTCACAGCGGGTTTGAGCAAGAACTTGGCGTAGCCGACCATGAGACGATCAGCAAAGTGCTGTTCAGGCTTGCCGGAAAGGTCCCTGGTGGAGGCATCAGAAACTTCGGGAGCCGCGCAACAGAAGCAGCAGTCACGGCGGTTTTGTTCGATCCGGCGTTGGTCAATCACAATGATGGCAATGAAGAAGGTGATTTGGAAGAGGAAGTCAATGATGATCGTTGGGAAGGCTTGAGGCAAAATTAGGAGAAGAGAGCAATGGGCGGTTTCGGTGAGATAATGTACCCTGTTATGGCTCGAAACAAAGGCAGGATTTTGGTGCTTGCTTACCATAAATGACGAGGTATCGAACAGCAGGGATACTGGACACGGCACCAAGCGCAAATGCGAGAGAGCTGGTGAGAGTGGTCAACAGGATGGTGTGGCCAATATCTTTCATGGTGTCGTCGACCCGCTCGACGACATTCTTGCGATGATCAGTGCGGGCAAATGCGCCAGAGATGATGAAGGCAGCATCCAAGCCAACTCCGAACATGATGAAGGGAAGAAGAGGCGTCAAGGAGGTGAAGGGAACACCGATGACGAAGAGAAGCCCAAAACTGGCAATGATGGCCAAGAGCACGGTGATCACAGCGCCAAAGCCCATCCAGCCACGAGAGAGAACTTTGTCGCGTCTGGTGAAGAAGAGGACGCAGAGGATGGACATGAGCAAGAAGACCAGAGGAAGGAGGGGAAGATCCTTGGTCAGTGAACGGCCAAACTCGTCTTCAAAGGAGCGCCCTGTGATGATCTCAACTTTGTAGTCATTGCCTTCTTCGGCAATCCACTGCTCCTGCAATTCAAGGATGCGGTCAATGGCGTCCTTTTCAAAATCTATGGAGAAGGCCTCAGAATTTTCGTCGTCCGCTTTGTCAACTGGGAGGAAGATAACAGTCACATAAGACTCGCCGTAAGTCAGGATATTGTCCGTGAACTTGTTGTAGCCGATGAGCTGGTCGTGGTCGACGGCTCCCCCCGACGGGTACCTGTCAGCGCTCATTGCGGTCAAGACGACTTCGTCGGAGGTTGCTTCAGATTTAAAGGTTGTGGTGTTATCATTCCAAAAGGTTGTGGCGCTGACAATCTGACAGGTATTGGTCCAGCTGCCATCATCAGCGGGATGAATGTAACCAGACATGGCACAAAGTTCATCGTACCGGGGAGTGTTGCGGAAGTGGTCAACAGATTCAAAGAGACGTTTGGTGCTCTCCAATGCCATGTCAGTGTCGGTTTCGTCGGCACCAAAGAGGCCCTTGCCGTCGCGATGGAGCACCATGACTGCAGTACGAGCATCCTTGGGAAAGTTGCTTTCTTCGTCAATCCACTTCCCATGTTCAACCGGCTTTGAGCCAGCAGGGCTCCAGATGTCGTCGTCTGTCTCTTGGGTAAAGTTAGTGGCCACTCCAAGAGCCATGATTCCAATGCTGAAAACAATGGTGCCCACGATGACAATCTTGGGATGCGTCGCCGCGAAATGGCTCATGGCCAGGAACGGTTTCAGGATGGGCACCGTGATGGTTTGGAGAGCCTTTGTCCACTTTCGCGAACAGTTTCCCGCCTTTCGTTGGTTCGTTGCCTCGCTCATGATGTTTCTAGTTTGTAAGTAGTTGTTTTGTTCTTGCTTTTCAAGCTTCTTAGTTGGTTTTGTGAGAAGATTGATGTGGTGCTTCCATCAGATTTTTGCTCGTACCGCAGATTTGGATCTCTCGCTCGATCCTTCTACACACTTCCAAGTGGTACACGAATGAAGGTAGAACGCTGTGGATTGATTCTTCAGGCTGACTGTTAAATCATTGATTTCCCCCACGAGTGGGAAGAATCTTCACAAGGGTTCAGGTTTTGATGTGGTTTGGTCGTGGAGGTCCGAGCGAAGATTTCGTCAAGCGCAAGCAAGTGCGTGCGGGAGGAGCTGGTAAACCGGTAAGTCCATGGTGTCACCATTGTCACACCATTTTGCGAGTTGTTGGAATTTGGACAAAGACACCCGACATGTGAGCAGCGCCTTGCGTTCCTGCGTCGTGCCCCCCTTGACCTCTGTCTCCGTCCTCCTCTTAGCTCTCTCTAATCCATAGTAAACCCGATTCAAGATCATAACTATTGAAATCTTAGAATAGAATCGAATGCTATTCTCATCACTGGCACCATGGCACAACACAGAAAGAGCATCCTTTCAGCAAACTCGCCATTCCGGTGGCAGGCTGCCTTGTGTTATCTTGCGTTCACAATAACATTTCTGTTGAGCAATACGGTCTGTTGTTTTCGTCCAGGGCAGTCATTGCCGGGTTGGCTACCCCTCCAAAATACCCTTCAACCGTTGTGCTAACATCGCTGCTTGCTTTGCCTGTGGCAGGTCCCCTATGCCCCATTCATGGCTATCACTCTCCTTCCAAACCGTGCCAACGCTGAGAATGTGGGCAAGTACTCTGCCTTTTTCACATCTTGTGTCATTTGGGGTCGATCTGGTAAGAATGGTTCATTCCTCGTCACGAAGTTTTCTTCAATAATAATAGTAATTTTGCTCATTGGAACAAATACATTCTACTCTTTCCAGCTGGTGCAGGCAAATGGGGCCGAATGGCTGATACCAAAGGGCGATTGCGCGTTCTATACATCAATCTGATCATGTCAACCATGTTCACATTGGCATTTGGTCTCTCAAACAATTACTTTGTTGCCTTGGCGACAAGATTCTTTTTGGGCTTGTTTTGTGACATTGGGTCCATCACCAAAGTCTGTGTCTCGGAATTGGCAGGGAAAGATCGTGAACTGGAAGCCAAATCAATGAATCTTGTGGTGCTAGCCTGGGCCCTTTCCAGTTTGCTTTCACCCGCCATTGGAGGAGTTTTGGCAGACCCTGTCAAGCAGTTTCCAGATGCTTACATATTACAACAAGACCCAGTTTTACATGAGTTTCTTCTGCAATACAAGTACTTTTTACCGAATTTAGTTGGTGCCATATTGTGCCTCATCGGAGTTCCCGTTGTCAAGTTCAACCTAAGAGAGACTCTGACAGATCAGGATGATGACGCTCCGACAGGGGAAGAAGAAAAGACAGAGGAGGACCCATTGATTGGTCCTGGTTTAGGCGAATCCTATGTCTTGTCACGAGAGGCAATCCAGATTGCCAAGGCTCAAGATGGCGAAGATGCGCTCCTAAGGGATGCCTATGTCTTGACGGATGACTTTGAAGGCGTAATGACAACGGCACAATCACGTCGTGCTATATTCGTCTCCAGCAAATCATTGATGCACGAGGAGGAGGACAACAATCAACAAGAGTCCAACAATGGAGATGACGACAGCACGAATGCTGGAAGACCACCCTCGACGCTCGGCTTTCTCTGTAATTGCAACAATCTGTCTCATCTGATCGTGTATTGTCTGGGTCTGTTCCTGATTCAATTCCACACAGAGGCGTTTCCCCTCTTTTGTTTGAGTCAAACGTCGGGACTGGGACTTGACGAAAGTACTATTGGTGGAATCATGATGGCTAGTGGCCTCATTCATTCACTATTACAGCCCAGCATTTATCATTGTGTATTTGCTCATCGAGGTCTCAAAGGATCCATCAAGTGGGCCGCCACTGCGGCAATTCCAATGTTCTTTCTTGTTCCCTTTGCTTTGCTGAGTAAGAAAGTGGGACCTGATCATCATTTGAGATGGATGGCATTGGTTTACTTGGGTGTCATCGGAGGACTGGGGAAAATCTTCACTGTGACATTTTTCAGCAGCATCTCGGTTTCCTTGAATCGGTTAGTTCCAAGAAAGCATCGTGCTACGTTCAATGGATTATTGACCAAAATAGCAGGAACTTGCAAGGGCATGGCACCGATCGCAGCAGGATTCTTTACTGCATTTGCATTTTCATCTCGCTTTTTGCCTCCTTGGTGGTGGGGGCGAAGGTGGTGGGGTGCGGTGCTGCTGTATGCTACCATGGGATGGATGTCCATCTTGTTGGCATTCTTGTCATTTCTACTGCTGGGGCGTGATGATGAGCCTCATTGAGTTCACAGTGGTGATGGTGGTGGTGTGTCATTCTAGGAAAGGCAGCATGGATGGTAAGAGACCAACCCAGAGAGTCTAAAACTTGACTGCAACTCTGACACCCTATAATGCTTCCACCAGTTCCCTTCAACCTGTGAACCCTGGTCAAATGAGAGCTTAGCTTCCATGTAGTCTAGCTTATTGTACACTTCTAGATGTGTAATATTGATAACTGTAGCACCACGTGGTGGCCTTCATGCTGCAGCAAGAAATCCCGCCACCACCAAGTTGGTGGCTAGCTGTTGGTATCAGAACCAAGACTTGCTCCTTCCATCAATTTTCGCAGGAAATCCAGTGCCTAAAGGCCTGACTAGCCAAAAGTGATTGATTGAATGAATCGAATCATTCTGGGAGGACAGATCTAGCCATGCTAGCATCTAGGTACTTTAGCAGCTCTGGCCAACCAATACTTGCTGCTGAAGTCTGGAACCCATGGCCTTGTTCCTCAGCCAATCCATTGGATTGAAGGAGCTCTCTAAAACCCAGTCCGATTTGGATAGAGAACGAGAAGAACTACATGGATCAGAGGCGCGGCTCAACAAGACTTAGTGGAGGCAATGCTACTTTGGTAGTACGGTAGCTCAGGTTCAAGGAGAAAGCTTTGGGGAAAATTTGAAAGCGGTACATATCTACACCATACGGGAATCGACATTTGATCGAACAGGAGTTCCACCTGGCTGCAAAGAAGTAGGTCCCCAGCCACGCACTCTCAGATTGCTGCTTGACGAGCCATCATTGAATATCTCGCATTACAGTTTGTTCGGCTCTACCCGCATCTCACGTTTCCTCTTTGTGCAATTGTTTTCGGTATCTTTGCATGCATTGCGTGGGATTTCGTGTCTGAACAATGATGGCCATTACCTTTGCCTTCCACCGGTCCGATTTGTCGGCGGTGCCATAGAGCCCAACTGCGCTACGGAACCTGGATTGCTCTTCGGGGGACCACCGCCCGCTATTGAATGGCTTGGCAGCGTGATCACGTACCTGCTGTGAACTTTTCGTCTCGATGTGAAAAGCAATCTTCGCCCACTTCTTGGTGGCATCCCTCTCATCAGCATAGAGACGTAAACCCTCAATAAACTGAGTGTGCTCCTCTGGAGACCACAGCGGATCGTGACATAGTTTGATAGGGGGAGGAGGAGGAGCCATCTCGACGTCGTTGTCATCACGTTCTGATGTGGTGGCATTGGGTTTGCGCTTCCTCGTTTGAGCGGGGCCAAGTGCAACCGAGTTCTCGTCCACAGAGTTCGCGCCTGTTGCATTGGGTGATGAAAATAATGATGCCATGAACGTTTCTGGGGGTTTCGTGGTGCGTGTGGAACGGCGAATGGGCGTCACTGTAGTCGTTGACGCCGTCATATCGTTGGATTGGTGAATGGTCCTTGTGGAACGTCGAACTGGATTCGAACAAGCCTCCTTCGTTTGACGACCCCTTTGCTTTTTCTTGGCGGGAGGGGAAGTTCCTTCGTCTAGCTTCCAAGCCCGAGCAAGCTCGCCATCGAATTTGGCTTGAGAGATTACCCCTGACTGTCGAAGGAGTTCCGCATGCTGTGTAATCCTGATGGCTCGTTTCAGTTCGAGGCCTGAAAGGTTCCTTGGGTTGGGAAACTTTAGTGTGGAATCAGATGGCTCGCTTTCGCCTTGACTGTCGGAATCGTTGGCGTCCTCCTCGCTGTCGCAATGGCTATCTTCTTCGTCGCTGTCGTCGTCGTCAAAACCTTCGTCGCTGTCATCATCGTGGTCATCGAATCCCTCGTCTTCTCGGTCGAGTAGATTGCCGCGGCCTGGGGTTGTCTTTTCGTTTTCCATTTGCGAAGCACTGGATATTCTTGATGGCTGACCGCGGGTGAGCCTACGAGTAGTGTCAACACTTTTGGCATGTAAAAGTGTGAGACACACGAGGCTCTGTTTCGTCTCAACGAACGTGGAGGGCCCAGATGGAAGGAGTTGTTTCCATTTGAGAAAGAGGCTTGTGCCTCTCCGATCCTAATTCGTCTTATATAAAAATTACCACATGATACTGATTCACTCCACAGATCGCAGACGTACTCGCAAACGAGCTGATAAGGAATATTGGCTCTAGCTAGCAAGCCAAGAGAGGAAACCATCGCTACTGCCTAACGAAATCTCCCTCTACTGGCTAGACAAGAGTCCAACGTTGATACTTGACTCTCCAGTAAACAAACAATGTATACGACGATCTTCAAAACCTCAGTCAACCGGCAATGAGAGGGGTCTAGCTAGATAGTTCATCAGTCGAGGTAGGTAGGAAGATGCAATTAATGGAATGCTTCCAACTCAACTCAGAATGCCCGATAAAAGACTTCATCGACCGTGGAATCCCTGGATATGTTCTTGACTTCTATATCATTTCCATCGAATCCATCCAATAAATTCAAGAGATGATTTTTCTGTTTGTGCTGCAGCAGCGTGTCCTCGAGATGGTAATATCCCGTTTCCAAGAGCATATTGATGACCCGTTCATCCTTGAGGGTAGCATTCTTGTAAAAGTGATTGCGAATCGCCTTTCGGACATCTGCAACTGGCTTGTCCATGATATCGTAAATCATCATGACTCGAGGCACTTCTCTGGTATAACAAACAACACAAGAAGGACAAATAATAATATGAATAGGGTGAGAATCATCCAATCCAACAGACATCAGGCAGGCTACCCATCCATCATCTCAAAGGGCTGTCTTTGGGTTTCCAAAGCCAACTAACTCTTAGCTCAAGATCAATCAGCAAACTTACTTGATGATATTCTTGTAGAGGAGTGCCGGTCGGTTGCTCACAGCAACCTTCTTGGCAGCGGCGGCGAGTTGCATAGACGTCATGGTCGATATCTTTGTGTTACTGCTGTTGTCGCTGTTTTGGTGGGATGCCTTGGTGCGCTGTGCGATGCGAGTTCTCATCCATTTTAAAGCTCGCAAGAGCGCTCCGCTACCGGTACTTCTTACAAGAAAACAATACGATGACGTCATTGATGGAGAGAGAAAAGATTTTGCCTCCGACGACATGACGACATGTTGCTGTTGACCCACCTCTGTTCATACCACTCTAGCTAGCCAGAGGGCATTGGATGTTTGAATTCAATGCTCTGTCTCCCATGAAAATGATCCTTTCTGGTTCACAAAGATTGGCAGCAGTGTTTGTCTTGCTGTGGTCCGCCATTGTGAGTGCTTTTGTACCGGTACAAACTACCCAACTGGAAAGCTTTGGTGCGCTGCACATGGCAGGTGGTGGCATGATGGATGTTGCCAACTTTGCCACCCAACAAGCCCCGCAAACCACAAAGTTTGTTACCAATAAAATGTGTCCATTCGGTACGTTTCTCTGTTTGTTTTGATCGAATGCTACCCTGCTACCAAAGTGCTTTCTTACCAATATCTATCTATCTCGCATTGGTACCGTACCGTATGGTGTAGCCCAAAAAGTGTGGATTGCCCTCGAGGCGTCGGGAGCTCCCTATGAACTGGAGGAAGTATCTCTCTACGGGCCCAATGGCAAGCCCGATTGGTTCTGGGAGCTGAATCCTTCCGGGACCGTTCCAGTTCTAGTCTGTCATGGAGGAGCCACCGTCTACCCCGACTCGGATCTGGCGTTGGATGTCATTGAAGATGGATCCGCCATTGTGGGAGTGACGCTCAATGACAAGGTCAAATTGGATAATAGTAATAAAAAACTGCAAGCCCAAATACAAGAATGGCGACAATCCATGCTCAACGACAAGTTACTGCCCATTGGCAAAAAGGCCGTCTTGGGTGGCAGCAAACAAAAGCTATACGATGTATTGCAAGAAATGAATGGCAAGGTCGTGGGACCCTTTCTCTGTGGGGAACAACTCACATCGGCTGATTGTGCCGTCTTTCCCTTTTTGTGGAGGCTCGATAATGAATACGGTATGAAAAAGTATCCCAAGTTATCCGCGTGGCTCAAACACTGCAACAATCACATGGCATTTTCCAAAACAGTACAATCCGCATGGTGGTGGTGGTGGTAATACAAGAAAAACAGTGAAAATGGCTCCAAGCAACTGGGCAAAACAAATAAAAAGTTGGAAACAAGCTGGCTCTACTACAATTCTCAAAAGTTGGAGAGCAACGACACTGGCCTCAAGAGCACGCAACAAACGGGGCACGAGGATCTACGAGAGTGGTCCACAAAACTGTTTCTCACAACCTGGGGTTGTGATGTGGAGTGACTTAGACTGAACAGGTGGCCAGGAAGATGTAACTACAAAACTTAGAATCCGTTGCTAGCTAGCTAGTATGAATCAACGAATGGTTTCGGAATTTCCATTTTCTGGTTGTGCCATCTCTGTTGGGTCTATTGATTGATTGATCGATCGGTTGTCGACGGATTACATCAAAGGACTGGCAGGTTGCAATGGGCTCCGCCGAACCGCACGTGCAATGGCGAAGATGGCTTCTTGTCGATTGTCGAGATAGGCATCACCCACAGGTTTGATTCGAAAATGCAATTTGCAAGAGACTTCAATCAGATCACCCTCAATACTGGTAACATGGACCCGACATGGTCGACTACCATCCGTAATCAACGTAGGACAGGAAATCCCAACCTCGCGTTTAATGTCCTTCAACAGGAGAGGTATCTGCTCCAGCGAATCCTCGCTGTTTTCAAAGGTCAGCTTTTGACTGACCTGGGAGGTTATTGCGCGGGACAGATTGGAGATCCTTTGGCCGGCTAGCAAACAAAACATTCTCAGTTAGCAAGTAGTTTAGCTTTTGGCAATCAAGGACACAACTAATTTTGGCCTGTCACAGCCTCACCTAAATCAGCATTGGGAATCGAAACTAGAATGTTCTGTAGATTGAAGGATACATGTAAGACGCAGTATTCCATGGCGTAAATGCCATCACCTCCACAACTAACTTACATCTGACATTCTCAAGGTGGTTTCCAGCCATCCCAAGTCCTCGATCTTGCCCGACATTCCCAACACTTCAACGGAATCTCCTTCATTGACCCGATTGGATCCAGCCAAGAAGAGCCCATGGAACACTTGTGTGACAAATCCTTGCATTGCCAAACTCATAGCCAGGGCACTCACACTACCAAAGGCTAGAAAACCTCGCATGGTAGCGTCCATATTCGTTTGCACCGTATCCACAGCGATGTAGAGGGTAATTCCGTAGAGTGCTGCATCAATCAATCGATCTACAATTTGAACTTGTCCATCCAAATCTCGATAATCTTGATTCGTTTGCTTGGCCAGGATATAGCGTTTAAGTGCTGAAGCTCGATTGGCAATCCAGCCAGTGTATAAGATTTTGCCAAAGGCATGATTGAAATCACCCATGTTGGCAAGCTTGAATCCCATGCCTTGCGCAATAATTTTGAGAACATCCACCGCGTAAATGGCCAAAGCCAATTTGGCAAGCTGGCTCAAGTGGTCAAAAATCAAATGCAACGGGGTCTCTTCGAAGTTCCTTGGGGCCTTGTCTTTTTGTCTTCCACTACTAAGAGCTTCATACGGGAGCCTTACAGCCGGCTTGGACATCCAGGCTAGAAGGCAGAACACCACTATCTCGTCAAGGTGGACTACATCCTTCAGGCCCTTGACAATCACCTTGGCCTTTTCACGGTTAACCAGGAGTTTTTTGGCGTGTCTCCTAAAGACACCCGCCAATGTGGAATGCTTCAAGAACTCTTGATGGATTGGACTGCTTGTGGCTGGAGGACGTTTATCCGCTGCATCGGCCGCCAAACAGAACACGGATAAAAGGAGCAGCAGGACACAGGTGAATCGGCGACTGTAGCACAGTGTCATGTTGCTAACAATCTGCACAAATGATAACTGGATGGAGTATTGTCCAGTATTCCTATTACGATACCCTGATGCCGGATGCAGAGGTTTTGTGAGGGTATCTTTGTCCGTTCCGTGAAAAGTACGTGGAATTCGTAAACCCTAAGAAGATACATCAAGATCTTCTTTTCTTGGGGTTATTGCTAAAATCACGACTGGAGTCGAGTCGAGTCGAGTCGAGTCCATTACAGAACACCCGAACGACAGAACCTCACTCTTCACTCTTCACTCTTCACTCTGACCGTACCCATAGATACTGGTAGAGCACAAGAAGAGGACAACTGTCCATTCAGTATCTCAAAGCAATTTTCTGCCAGAAGATGCAGTCGAAGAGGCAGGGAGAGACTGGAACACTCGAGTCCCCAACTGATGGTTTCCTGGATCAATCGGACATTTGGGTCGAGCAGATTCTGCCCTTTCTTGGTGTGGGGCAGTATGTTTTTGTGGCATCAGTCTGCCACAAAATGAAGCGTCTCTACAAGGCCTACTGCAACTCTGTGCAAAAGCCACCAAATGGCAATGATGCTGGTGATGATGACGCTCCCCAAGCGACTTTTTCTGATACTTTCTGTAGTGCCACAGTCTTCTCGCTCTCCTGTGCAGAGTATTGGTATACCCACCGCTTCACTGGCACTGGTGGAGACATCAGTGGCAAAATGATCTGCAACACTGCTGCCAAAGTGGGCAGTCTTAGAGTTCTTCAATGGGCTCGAAACATGGGATTTGATTGGGATTCAAAAACAAGCAAACATGCTGCAATGAATGGTCACTTACTTGTGTTGAGATACGCCCATGCAAATGGATGTCCATGGAATGAGAACACATGCAACAAAGCTGCTCAATTTGGGCACTTAGAATGCCTGAAATTTGCTCGTGAACATGGTTGTGGATGGAGTAACGAGACATGTGCCATTGCTGCAGAAAATGGCCATCTGGAATGCCTCAAATTTGCCCGTGACAATGGATGTGGATGGGGACGAGAAACATCGAGCAGAACTGCTCACAGAGGTCATTTGGAAGTCTTGAGGTATGCCCATGAAAATGGATGTCCTTGGGATGAAAACACTTGCCACAAGGCGGCCGGAAATGGCCATTTGAAAGTCCTCCAATATGCCCTTACAAAGGGTTGTCCTTGGGACACCAAGACATGCAGTAGTGCTGCTCGCCATGGACATTTGGAAACCCTGAAATATTTGCTAACAAATGGCTGCCCATGGGATGATGAGACATGCCGTTATGCTGCTTTGGGCGGCCATTTGGATGTCATCCAGTATGCCCATGAGAACGACTGTCCGTGGAGTGAAGGGACATGTGGCTATGCTGCTGCAAATGGTCACCTTGATGTGTTAGTCTATGCCCATGAAAACAACTGTCCATGGGACCACTACACAACCACCAATGCTGCTGTAAATGGCCACATGGAATGCCTCAAGTATGCCCATGAAAGGGGTTGTCCTTGGGATACTGGTGCATGCTGCAGCAGAACTGCTCTCTATGGCCATTTGGAAACCCTGAAATATTGTCATGAACATGGCTGTCCATGGAATGAAGATACGTGCAGGTTTGCTGCCCATAGTGGCCATTTGGAAATCCTCCAATATGCCCATGAGAATGGCTGTCCCTGGAACGAAGGCACATGCAGTGGAGCCGCTGCAAATGGCTTTTTGGATGTCCTCAGGTACGCCCATGAAAATGGGTGTCCTTGGGACAAACTAACGTGCATGTGGGCTGCTAGGAATGGCAATTTGCAGATCCTGAGCTATGCCCATGAAAATGGTTGTCCTTGGGATGAAGCAACGTGCCATTCTGCTGCATTGAATGGACATTGGGAGGTTCTAAAGTACGCTATTGAGAACGATTGTCCGTGGGATGAAGATACTGTGCTGAAAACTAAGGATGTTGGGGTCAAGGCTTGGGTCAAAGACTTCATGTCTCGGAGGAATCCCTAAAGTCAAAAGCCTATGTATTGTTGTGTGTTGCAGAGGAAAAATCAAGGACAGCTGAACCTAGTATACTGTAGTTTTTCCATGGTTTCATTGGTGTTAATCTGTTCGTGAAGAGACGTGTGCGGTTGGGTTTGCCACAGCGTTGCAAAATCGTTTGCAGGGATTGTTCTAATCGTGTACGGTTGTTCAAGACATTGAACATTAGGGTTTCCCATCTGCCAGGATGGAGAACATCAAACACGCGCTCGAGACTATCGAGGACTGATTTTCCAAATATTTGGCGAAGGGTGCGGCGCTTTTGCATGTTGTCAACGAACCGAGATATCGGCACTGGTTCGTTCGTTTGCTTCATCGTCGAAAAGATCTTGTTTAGATCGAGATCTCACTCTTGGATTTGGCCAGCTGTGGACACTTCCTGCTCAAAGAGTGGGCGGAATACCATGTTTGCATCGCTCCAGAACGTGTCGCGGCTGCTGGAGGCGCCGTAGAATCAAGCGTCAGGGTGGCTGCGCAAAGCCGACAACGAAACAAGTTTCCTGCTTCCTGCACTTGCCTGTCGAGGGGACCCGTGCTCTCTCTCAACCTCCTTTCGTGTAGATTCCCATGATCCAGATCGGGTGCTTTTCTGGGAGTGTCACCGGACGGTTCGGACGCACCAGGGCAAGAAAGCAGCGAAAAACGCCCTACTTGGTTGTTTGCTTGCTTGCTTACCTGTGATATCATTTATTTGAGAGAACACCTCATGACATGCACTTTTGAGTGAGTGTGCAATGAGACTACCGTACCATCGTTGCTTCATTCATTCATGACAAATCCGTTGCGCTTCAACTCCAGAAGGGCGCTCGATGTTAGTTAGTTTTTTTTTACGGGCGTGAAAAGGTACTTTACAACCACAGCCAATGCCCGGATCTAGCTAGATCGTGCACATGGGATAGGGGAGCCGATAGGATACCAACATTCTTAAGCGTGGTGTTCATGGCTTTTCTTTGCTTGAGTGACAGTGACAGCTCGCGTACCGTACCGTAATCGATGAGTGAGTGGTTGGGGGATCGTTATTTTGGCTACTGTGGAGCAATCTTGTGGCCACGAGACCAAGGTACTAGTATGGGCACAGAACAGACTTGTGATGGCTTGACACTGTCAGAAGTACAATGTGCTCGACTACCTGTTGAAACAAAGAACTACTAGCTAGATAGCATTACCGCTACCAGGAGGATTGCGAAAAGAGTGGCCGCAACAGAAGATTTGGTTCTCGAGCAAAAAGTGAGAAAGGGTTAAAAGATTTACGCAAAGACATTTCGTTAAGTCTTAGCCATATGCATACTTCCTTTTTAACTTGAGTCACGTTCACGTCTCAACCGTTCCCTGAACTTCACTCCAAACCAGAACAAAGCCGTCGAGGGAACACGCCCATGAAGATATCCTCTTAAACCTCTCCACTTGACCATCCCAAAGTCCAAGCGTATGTGCCTGTGCTCTCCGAGAGAAACAGGGTCGAATCCAGTCAATAGGCCCAATATCAAATGGTCCCTTTTACTTTGCAAAACTGCTGCGAAGGATGTATGCTTAGTAGGTATCAAATATCTAACCATTCAGACGAATCAACCAATGACCCTGCTTGGATACTTCTTTTAAGAGGACAATCCAATGCTCACACGTAAAAACAGGATCCATACTCGTACCGGTAGAGTAACAAAGGGGGTGGTGACGGCGGCCCAGAAGGAATAAAAGGCTAGCTAGTAGCTACCAAGCTAGCACCCACATGGGGAGAACCTATCTCTCTTCTTCACATCTTCTATAGTCGAGTGGTGCATATAGATTGACAACTGTTTGTTTGCCTCATCATTGAGCAGCAGCAGCAGCAGCAGCAGCAGCAGCAGCCACCATGAGTGACGACCCAGGCGAAAAGAAGAAAAAGAAGAAGGACAAAGTGAAGAGCTTTGTCAAGATCCCCGATGTCTTCATATCCTCGTCCAAGACCAAGAAGAGCAAGGCTGCAAAGGCAGCCCTCGTCGAGGAAAGCACCGAGACATCAGCAGATACAGAGGATGCCGCCTCCAAAGAGACGGACAAGCTATTGGCCCAGACCAAGAGTCTGCAAAAGAAAGCTGCCAAATCGGAACAGAAGCAACGGGATATTGAGCAAGATATTATACCTGACTCGTCTGAAGCCTTCTCCCTCGTCCCAAATACATTTCTATCGGAGTCCTTGAAAGCCTTGCCTCCCAAAACAAAAACAACAATACCAGAGGCAACATCACCAAAGCCGGCAGATGCACCCAAAAAGGTAGCCTCTACGACAAAGACAAAACCCAAAAAGGTAGCGTCCACCAAAGCAGCAGCAGCACCCAAGTCGCCCAAAAAACAAACCAAGCCAAAGGCAACATTCCCCAAGATGCAACCAAGGACAGCTCAACCAGAAGTAGCAGCCACCACCAAAAACCCTGCCACTGCCACTAAAAAGCAACCAGCCACCAAACCAGCTCCAGCTGCCAAACTTGTCACCAAACCAACCCCCAAACCTGCAACAAAACCAGCTCCAGCTACCAAAGCTGCAGCAAAACCAACTCCAGCTGCCAAAACCAGTAGTTCCACGGTGGCTCCCAAAAAGAGCCACATTGCTCTTTCTCCAACCGGCGGCCCCAAACGAAGGAGTGGTGGCACTCCAGCACCAGCATCCATTCCCAGGCCTCCCATTGTCAAACGAGACACTACCGAGATGAGTTTGGGCCTAGACCAACTGCAACAGAGAGACTCCTTGGATTTAAACGACGACAACAGTCTCCACCAGTACTATACTGGAAATCTCTCGGTACAATTGCTACGGGAACTGGAAATGATTACACTCGAACGACACGATGAAACCTTTGCCACATTCTACGAAGCCGATGGCAAGGCCACACAGACACTCACATTTGGTGACTTGTGGGACAAGTCAGGAGTCGTCTCGTACCATTTACGAGTGACTTGGAAGCTGCAAAAGGGACAAACCGTGGCATTGGTGCTGGATTATGGCTTGACGTACATGGCCACGTGGTTGGGATGTTTGCGGGCCGGGGTCGTACCCATTATCGTGGCATCTCCCATTCCTCCCAACTTTGAAATGGCATTGACCAAACTCAATGTCATTATGCACGCTGTCGCTCCCGTGGCCATGATTTTGACCGATTCCGTCGTCAAGTTCTGGAAAAAGGAAGATGAAAACGATCGCACGTCGTCCACGCGGAAAATGTGGCCCGAACAAGCACCTTGGAAAGCAGTCGACAAGTTGCCCAAGCCCAAACCAAACAACAAGGGCTCTTCCGGGTCGCTCATGGCGAGTTTGAGTAGTTTGGCCGGCTCCTTCTCGTCGTTGGCGGGGTCACAGCATGGGACGTCCACCAGAAAGGGAGCCTCACCGTCGCAACTCGATTTGAGTAAACAGAATCGAATAAGTGATCTCGGCAGCAGCAGCAAGAAGCGATCTAGTGGAACGCCTCGTCAGTCCTTCTTGAAAAGAATGTTTAGTCCACGAAGAGACGATGACGACGATTACTTGGACGATGACGAGGAGCCGGAACTGCGATTCTCTTTCTTTGGCAACCCTATTGGCAAGCGGGATTCGGGTGCTGCGGCGCCACTTCCAAGGCAGTCTTTCCGGGCGTCTCTCTTTGGGCAAGGGGAAAAGGAACCATTGCTGGCAGGGACAGCGTTTGACGAAAAGTCACTCAAAGCCAGCGATGTGTGCTGCCTGCAGGCAACGTCTGGGAGTACCGCAGATCCAAAGGTTGTCGTTGTCACCTTTCAGGCACTCTACGATTGTCTCAAAATGACACGGCGAGCGCTCCCAGAAGTATTCGGGAAGCACAGCTCCTTGGCAGGTCTCACGTGGGTGCCGCCAGATCATCACTTGGGCCTCTTCCTTGCCATGGTATGCCCTCTTCTCAACGGCTGTCCCATGCATTACATGTCTTCTGGCAACTACGAAGAGTCCCCCTTGCAATGGCTAACGCTCCTCAGTACATACAGAATAGGTTGGACACTAGCACCCGACAATGGCTATCGATGGGTTATTCGAGAGTTCATGCAAACTCTGAATGCCTCAACCACAATCATGACGAGCTTGAATCTCTCATCGCTCAAGGTGCTGCTGAACATTGGCGAGTCGCCGCGATTTGGTACCCCGGACAAGTTTCGCAAGTGTTTTGTACCTTACAACCTTCCCAGAGATTGCTCCATTAAAACGGGCTATGGTTTGGCAGAGCATGTGTTACCAGTATCATGGATAGAACAAGATGTCTTTGCAGTGCCATCTTGCAACAACTTTGCGTTGACCAAACGTGTGGCAGTCGCCAATAGAAATGCATTGGAAAAGGACAATATCGCGATAGTAGTCATTGATTCAAGAAACAACCAACCGGTCTCCAAAGGTCAATTGGGGGAAATCTGGATTTGGAGTCCTTATTTGGCGCACCTGCCAGGATACTTTCGAAACAAAAAGCTCACCAAAAAGAACTTTCAAGCCAAGATCAAGGGTAAGGGGTCGAAGACGATGTACCTTCGAACTGGGGATGTTGGCTTGTTCAAGGATGACCATTTGTACATATGTTGTCGAAAGGAGGACGTGTTAGCAAATAGTCAAGGCATTAAATTTTGTCCTCCAGACATTGAATGGTTCGCGGAAGATTGCAGACCGGAGATCAGGAGAGGGAGGGTTGCTGCGATGGCATCCGTGGCGGGCACGGTCGAGATTGCATTGGAAGTTTACGAGTCAACCAAATCGGCTTACACGCGGCAACTATGCCGTATTCTCTCCGAACGGATACCAAAGTTCACTCGCATGGAAGTGTCGAGTGTAGTCGCGGTTCCACAAGGAACGCTTCCAATAACACCGATTAGTACAGTGCAACGACGACATGCGAAGGGCTGCTTGCTGAAAGAAGAAATGCCCATGCTCTTCGACTTTCCCGAGCGCAAGGATCGGATTTCGCTGGATCGGAACGCCGAATTACCCCCAACCATGGATTCGTTCAGTCACAATGATGAAGACGATCAGTCAGAACGCTCGGAGGCAGATACCCCAAAAGCAGAATCGCAGGATACGACTATGCAAAAGACTGACCAGACACCCGGAACGAGTACACCTGAACGACCCGAAGAACCCAAAAGTGTCCCCTCTCCTGGAAGTCCTGCGGATAAAAAGAAACCGGCTGAGGTTGCAAAAAGTACGAAAGAGCGCCCGGTGACGAAGGCAGAAGCAGAGCCAATGAAGAAATCACCAGGTACCGGTACACAAGATCCGACATCGTTTGCTGCCGCAACCAAGGAGACCCAAAAACAGAAAGCAGGCGTAGCAACCAAGCAGGCTCCGAAGCAAGAAGCTGATCCACCACCAGCGGTTAAGCCTTCGCTCTCGGCAAAATCTGGCATTGCGGCGCCAAAGTCGAAGCCAACCTCGACTGCACCAAACGAGTCCGAGGGACAACCAACGCCTACAGGGGCAGCGAAGAGTTCGTTTGCATCTTTGGCCGGCAAGTTCGGAGGGACTACTGCTAGAAGGCCAACAAAGCCAGAGATTGCTCCTCCACCCAAGGAGGAGGACCAGCCGCTAGTTTCTGCATCTGCTGCAAAAAGCTCTTTTGATTCCCTGGCTGACAAATTTGGGGGGAAGACTACTAGGGGATCAACAAAGCCATCTGTTGCTTCAGTCAAGGAGACAGAGGTGCAACCGGCAACTTCTACAGGGGCAGCAAAGAGTTCGTTTGCATCTTTAGCCGATAAGTTCGGAGGAGCTACCACTCGAAGATCAACAAAGCCAGATATTGCTCCACCACTCAAAGAAACAGATTCTGCATCTGCTGATAAGAGCTCTTTTGATTCCCTGGCTGACAAATTTGGGGGGAAGACTACTAGTAGGGGATCAACAAAGCCAGCTGCTCCACCCAAGGATTCAGAGGAAAAACAAACAGATTCTGCATCTGCTGATAAGAGCTCATTTGATTCGCTGGCAGACAAATTTGGAGGGAAGACTACTACAAGACCAACAAAGCCAGCTGTACCATCCAAGGATTCAGAAGGACCACCGGCCGCTTCAGCAACTACAGCGGTACCAAAAGCCAGTGCCGCGGTCGCGGGCCAATCGCCGACGGTCGAAGTGGCTGATGGTGCGTCTGCCGTTCCTCATAGCGAAGGTAAAACAAAGAAAAGTACAGGGACTGCTGTCGATGCGCCTTTGGAAGGCACCGTGGTGCCTGAAGACGAAGCCACACGTGGTGTCAAGGCAAGGTTGGCCCGAGACGAGCAATTAGATGCACAGGGGGGGCCAAGAACGACAGCAAGTGGGACAGCAATTGCCGCTGACGGGGACAGTGGCAAAGCTGATGCCTCCATACCAGCAGTTGTTCAGGATGCGCTAAGTGGCAAAGCTGATGCAGCCGAACCAGCAGAAACTCAGCATGAGGCAAATGACAATGATGATGCAGCCAAACCAGCAGAAACTCACAAGGAGCCAAGTGACAAAGCTGCTTCAACTGAAGAACCAGCAGAAACTCATGATAAGCCAAGTAGTCAGAAAGCTGAGCCAGCCGAACCAGTAGAAACTCACGATGAACAAAGTGACAAAGCTGCAGCAACCAAATCGGCAGAACTTCATGAAGAACCTAGTAGTGAAAGTCCGTTGGAAAGCAACGAAACTGGCCCTGTAAATTCCATTGATGATGCACTGGGTGAACTGGGTGATGTTGTCACAGACGTTCCAGCTGAAAAAGTTATGTCGGAAAGTGGTCTAATCTACCCCGCAGCTGCTCAGATTTCTGCAGCCGATACGAGTGGAGATTCTATAAACAGCGTGATAGGGGACATGGTTTCTTTAGGAGCGGCCGAGGAGAGCGCTTCTGACAAGAGCGAAGAGAAGCCAATTTCTGGTGATGTCCTCGATGGCGATGACGCGGGGGGAGCTGCTGAGGAAATTGATGAGGCCGAGGTTGACGAAAAGAGCACTCGCAGCAAGGAGGACGCACCCGCGACAGAGATAGCGGGGCTAACCGAGACTGAAAGAGATGGACCCCACACCACAGATGCTGATGCTGTTAACGATAGTGCTTCTGGTCTTGATGACGGATCCAATGCAGTTGGTGAAAAGCGACGACCTCAATTGAAAGGGGCAGTTCGGGCGTCCTACGTGCCCGTGGGAAGTCCGGAGACGGCGGAACCGCTAGTGATGACATTTGGTCCTACCGTAGAGGAAACTGTTGGGTCTTTAGACGAGAAGCAACTTGACGAGGTGATATCGCGGTACCTGGGACCAGATTTCGACAATGAACTCTCTTGGGAAGAGTCTGGGTTATCTTCTGCAGCATCCGTCCCGTTGCGCAGAGAACTCGAACGCGAGTTTCTTACCACGCTGCCGCCTGACTATCTGGATCGGCATCCCACACCTGCAGACTTGAAAGGTCACATTCGGGACACCATCGGCGGACCAATCGACACCAACAAGCCACCCTTGGAGACGCAAAAGAGCCATCAACTGTCATGGTGCACCATTGGTTTGCTCCAGGCCTTTTTGATTGTGATCATGTTCATTCTATTCTCTGCACCGCTTGTACCATGTTGGTTGGTCTTTGAACAACTCCAGGCAATGAACAAACCCGCGCTGTACATGCTGTTTGTACCCCTTTACCTGGGAAGCTTTTCTGTGATAGTGATTGTGGCCAAGTGGCTAGTGATTTGCCGTTACAGGGAATGCTTGATTGTGACGCCATCGTTCGCCTATCTTCGATTTTGGTTTGTTGATCGGTAAGAATAATTTGAACCAACTATGGATGTGTCTGCGGCCTGCACTGGGAATCATTTCAACTCACATTGCCACCTCCTTAATAAAACAATCAAAAGCTTGGTTGCAGTATGGGAGTGTTGGGTTGGTCGATTTATCCTTGACACACCCCTGATTTGGTTATTCTACACATTCATGGGAGCCAGGCTCAGTCCTTCTTGCCAGCTGGCTGGCTTTATCAGGGAATTTGATTTGGTTTCGATTGGCGCGAACAGTTCCTTGAAATACCCTTGCCTGAAATGTCGAAAGTTCATTGACTGGGACGAACCGAACATTGGCCCGACGATGGCATTCCGCAGGATTTCCATCGGCGACCATTGCACTGTTCGTGGTATGCTTTCCCCTGGTGTCCAAATGGACGACGGCTCCATTGTTCAGAATCTCTGCGTTGTACCAGAAGGAGCCGTTCTTCCAGGAGAATCCTTGATCACCGGAAACCCTGCTTATGTTGCTGACGAGGTCGATCCTCGGAAGTACCCGTGCTGGATTCTAGTGGGCGTAATCAAGATGATTTGGATTGTGCTGGAACTGGGATTTCTCTACGGCATCTGGGAAGGGGCCATGTTCTTAAACCCACCCCCAGAGACATCAGAAGGCTTCGACTTTGCTTATTGGGCCATTTTTGCCGCCACCTGTATCTTGATATCTCTCTTGAGCAGTATTGTCCTGAAGATTCTTTTCATCGGGAGCCGTCGTCCAGGGAAGCAAAACGAATGTTGGTGTTATTATCCATTTGAATGGGCCTGTGACTACCATTTCAACTTGGTCACACTGCCATATCGAGCTTTTGCTCGCAACTCCCGATTCAGCAACGTTGTCCTAATGCTACACGGCTGCAGCATCGACTGGGCTTCAAAAATCGAACTGGATTCCTTCCCTCCTTCGAAAATGGATCTTATCCGTGTTCGCAGATCCATGCTGGGAACAGTGACCCTTTCCGTGAAGAGTGACGGGGTGTACTACAGGACTAACATCGAGGATTCTTCAATTGGTCATTTTTCTCACGTGGATACCGACGTATTGCTGATGAAGGCATTGGTACCTCCTCTCACATTCGTGGATGAATCAGTGGTTCACCACAGACTGGATCCCATGCGGGCAATGGGAGACTCATGCTGGCTTTACATTCATGAAGTCTATACTTTTCTGCTGGATATACTCCTGTTCGTGAAGCTCTGCTTGACTTGTTTTGTTTCCTACTCTGTGTGGCTGCTATTGTTGGACTTTGTCTCATTGGAGACCTGTGTACCAATCTGTGCTGCATCTCTTGCCGCGCAAGGTCTTGTATGGAATCTTGGAATCATTTTGGTGGAACGGATTCGGTTCTGTGGCATATCGCGAGGAAGCTACAACCCTTTGTTGCCTGGTTTTCACTATGTCTACAGAACGATGACGAGGACCTTTCAGGAATGGTCCTTTCTCAAGTTAACATATGGGAGTCCAATCTTCAATGTTGTGGCGTCGATGATGGGCACAACCTACGAAGGACGGTCACTCTATTTCGGCGACAACTTGTACGACTTTCGTCTGGCTACAATCGCTGATAGAACTGTGTTGGATGGGACCACGGTGGCCGGACACAACATCACATATGGTAATATCAAATATGGCCCCTCCAACGTTGCCGGTCTTGTCCACGACAAGAGCTTCATTATGGCCAACAATGCATACGAGTGCTCCAAGGAAGAGACGGGTCCTTGGGAGGCGGTTGTGGAAGTCCCCGATGCTGAAGAAGTCACAAGGATATCTTCAGGAAGGATTTCTATACTGCCTCGAGGGCGGGTCCTCGATGATATAGAAGACATTGAGGCGTCTCTGCTTTAGTTTGGAAGAGTGCGGTTGGGTTCATCGATGCGATGTACAAGCGGAGGGCACAAGAGAGTTTTTCCACAATATGCAACAAGATAGCCCAGTGCCTTGAGAGGAATGATTCGATTCAATCCTGGAGTGAATTCTACCTAGCTGTCTGGCAAAAAGTGGAGTGCTACCAACATCAGTATGGAGGTGGTGAATTATTCAAGCGCTTCTAAATTCTGTGCCCAGGCCAACGCGAACTGAATTGTGAGACGAAGAGAAACCTCGCCTCGAGCGACCGTTAAGCTGGTTCTTGTTCAGTAAGGGTTAGAGCTACAGTCGTACCGATAACGGTCATATCTTTTTTGGCTGCGACTCCCACTGCTTGTTCCTGGATTGTTCCCGGGCTGTTCCCATTCAGCAGCTGTGACCTTCGCTGCGACGATGCATTTGTGCTTGCCACCGCGTCCATGTCCGTCTTCAGGACAAACTTCCTTTGCAAATACCCGCCACGTACGTCCATGTCCATATTCAGAACCAACTTCATTTTTTGCAAATGCAGACTCCAAAGCTGTTTCGATCAGATATCCCACAGTTTGGTTCCTGTTAGCCACTCCGAGCAATGCCACTACAGCTTCCAAGCCACCTAGACCGTTTCTAGGTCATCCGAGCTATTTTGCGTGGGATATAGCCTTCCGGTTGCCCATTCTAGATTCGTCGCTCAAGCTCTCACAAAATATCACAGCTATTCATATTTTTCTTTGAGGACCAGTCCAATTGTTCAGAGCATCTCGACTTTGCCCTGCTTCTGCCCTTCACCTCTCCCAATCTAGCCTTGCACCACAAAGTAGCAAGTAAGTTCGGAACGACCATTGAGGCGTTCGCAATGATATTGCATTTTTTTCTTCTTGGACACCAATGCTCATTTTCAATCCAACCGTTTGCTTCTAGCTATGGTACCTACCCCATTCTCGGAAACACCAGAAGAAGAGCCCTTGGCTCCAACCGTTGTGGTTGTCACCCCTTATTCTACTGGCTGCTGCATAGCTAAGGAAATCCAGAACAGGGGATACAGGCTCATCTGCATGTGGTCTGCTGGATTTTCGGAAGTGATGAAAACACATGTTCCCAAATCAGCCGATGGTCTCATGTGGGACCTTGTCCTTGATGAACAGGACACTTTGGAAGATACGGCCAACCTAGTCTTGAGGGAAGCAGCAAGCCATGGCATGGATGTCGTTTCTTGCATCTGTGGTGGAGAAGCCGGAGTTGACCTTGCTGACGCTCTTTCTGAACACCTTGGATTGCTCTCCAATGGCACTGCAGTTGCCAATCGCCGTGACAAAAAGGTGCAACAAGAACTCATCAAAGAGGCCGGATTACGCTCAATCCGTCAAGTCGCTGGTACCAGCTTTACTCCCGAAGTGGATGACTTTATGCGCAAGGAGAGCTATCCTGTAGTTGTAAAGCCCCTTGATTCAGCGGGCTCTGACGGCGTGAAGATGTGCAAAAGTTATGAGGAAGCCAAACATCATTTTCTGTACTTGCTGAATGAACACGACATGGTGAATGGAGGGGAATGCCATGAAGTGCTTTGCCAGGAGTTCCTGAAGGGGACCGAATATGTGGTGGATTGCGTCAGCCGTGATTCCGTTCACAAGACCGTGATGGTTTGGAAGTATGATAAGAGGCCTGTAAATGGAGCAGGTAAGCAAGATACCGACCAGTCCTATCCACCACCAGCCACCAGCCAACACGCCTCACTCTGGTTGTTTTCGTTGCCAGCCTTTGTTTACTTTGGTGACATTCCAGTTGACTCTGAGACTGAAGAAGCCAAAGTGCTCATCCCCTATGCCCGCCGAGTCCTCGACGCGCTTGGCTGCGCTCACGGTCCCAGCCACGGCGAGATTATCATTACCGAGGATGGTCCCTGTTTGGTCGAGATGAACTGCCGTGCCCATGGCGGAGATGGCATTTGGCAACCCCTCTGTCGCGCCTTGACGGGAGGCTACAATCAAGTGGACGCTACCGTCGACGCCATTTTGGATCGTGAAACGTTTGACCGTCTCCCCGACAAACCCGTGAGCCCCTTTTTATCGAATGGTCAATGCGTGGATCTGGTCTCCTACAAGACGGGCACCGTCAAGGCGACACCCGGCTACTCCATTATGCGGCTGTTGCCTTCATTTGTGTGCATGGAGTCCCATATTCGCCCTGGCTCCAAAGTGGTTCCGACGGTGGATCTGGCATCGGATGCCGGCACACTGGTGGTCATGAACGCCAACAAGGATGTCTTGGCCCGCGACATTGCCCTGATTCGTCAAATGGAGACTGCCAGTGTGCTCTTCCAACTCGAAGACGAAGACGAACAAAAGGAAGCCATGGTCATTCAAAAGGTGTTGGAGAAGCAAAAGTCTGCTGCGAGCACTTTGGGCCGCCCTCGTTCCAAGTCGATCGAGACCTCCACAACTCGCCATCGCCGTTTAGTCTCCCACGATACCCCCGCCATGTTTATGGCTGCAAAACATATTTAGAGTTTAGAAGACTTGCCGGATACACAAGACAGCGCAACACAGCACAGCACAAGCAAGTAACCAACCATCAAAGAAGAGAATGAATCAGCAATATTTATATTTCATAGGAGACTACAACAGCTACATGTAAGAGAAGATTGGGAGGAAAACGATGATACCGGTCAGGGAGACACCTGACGAGGCCAGTGCGCTGCGCTCTATGAGCAAGAAGAGCAAGAAGAGCACAATTAAATGTAGTACATAGAGATAAAACAAAAAGTCTAGACAACAAGATATCAGTTTGAACAATGCCTGCTGTTGGGTGCATAGATACCGTAGATGTTCATCGAACTGCTGCGACGACAACAACAATGTGGGCGGTCCTTCGTCAAACAACGACCTTGCTCGCTAGATGACCAGGGCAATTGGGCCAGAGGGCGAGCCGAGCAGACAGGGAAACAAAGCCACCGCAAAAGGAAAGGAACGAACAAAGACAGAAAGATCAATGGGGGTAAGTAACTACAATGAGTCTTCCTACCGTACTCTAAAAAAACCTCCTCACAGAGCTTCTCACGGCAGTGTTGGCAGAGCTTGGTTCAATTCGTATTGTATTGTATTGTATTGGTGAAAATGGCAAAAAGTACTAGAATTGTATTGACCTCCAGAATTCATCCCAATACCAAATTGGGTTCTCTAGCTACAATACCAACAATACCTAGTTTCAATACCTACATGTAGCTACTACCTAATGCGCCTACTCGCCATCGGTCAGAGCCAATGCACTCAAAGCAGCATAGCAGCTGCTGATAGGAGCTCTTCATCAGCTTTGGCTGCCCATTGGGCAAACCTGGCATCATTCTGCTGCTTTCTAGCATGTTCATAGGCCTTCAAGGTACCCTTGTAGCCTTCAAGGCACCCCCCTATCCCTACCACAGGGGGGGTCAATACCCAAATTGGTATTGTCTAGATCTGCTCCAATGGGGTATTGCTGGTGGGGGTCCAATACCAATACAATACCCAATATCTAAGACAGGCTCTCAATACAAAAACAATCCAATCCAATTTTCAATACAATACAATACAATACAATTAAATTGGACCTAGCCCTGAGTGTTGGTGTGCTTGCTCAAAACAACAGTTCTTGGCTCGACTCGACTCTTATGGTAAACAAACTTCCAAAGGCTTCGGTTCGGTTGGAGGCAACTCTGCGTCTTTTCGATTGAAACACGACTCAGTATCTTCTCTCAGACTTCAAGGTTGTCCTTTGTTCTTGTCTTGACACAAGTTCTTCTGAATGGTGCAACTTGTTTGCCTGATTTGTAGTACTGTCTGTTGATTGATTGCTGGGTTCCTTGTTGATGGAATACAGTACACCATGTCTGTGTTTGCCGAATTTCTGTTTGACAGGTCCATTGAGACGGTCCCCTGCACGAGCTGTCAGAATGACGAAGAGGAGGAGGACGACGTGAGCCAGAGTAATAATAGTCACGCCCACAACAACATTTCGAATAACGAAGATGATGAGCAAACGGCTGCTTCGACTGCCAGTACTGCCAACCATAACGACAACAACATGTCAGCTGACTCGGAGTATGGTCAACTCATGGAAGTCATGGTCACTGGTTTGTTAGAAGCACAACAACAACAACAGCAAGAGAGAAATAATGAAGCGGGCGACGACGCCACATCCTACTTTTCGGGCGGTACCATTCTTTCTTCGGCTCCTTCCGAAGCTACCATTGGACTTGATCCACATCGTGGCCAAAACAGAGTGGCACGGGTTCCATCCAGTGCGGCGCTCTCCCTCTCGACGGCGCCGTCTTGTTTCCTCAATGTCGACGATGACGAGGACGACGCTACTTCGGTGGCTACCGCTCTCTCCTATCAAGCTTCGCTGGTAGACAGCTCCATTTCCTTCCGAACCAGCTGGAGTCAACCGACAGGTTATCAGTTGGGAGGTACCATGGACATTGGCGACGCGGATATTATGGATCCAAGACGACCGGCACCAACAACTACTACAAGCCAGGCCGTGGTGCTCCGCAATAATGACGTCAATGGCGCAACTTGGTATGCCCATTTCACAGACGCGGATTGGGAAGCGTTCCGTCGCAGATCCCAAATGATTGTAAAGTCTCTCTTTACCATTCGTCCCAGCAGAGACTTGCGGTCCTTGCAACTGCCTCCTCCACCTCCGGCGTTGTTGACTCACAATTCACTACCGCACGACAAAACGGATGCCATGGATCTTCCCCGTTGTTTCACATGTCCCCTCTGTCAGGATGTCATTGTCGGAGCCATGACTCTGGATTGCAGTTGCCAAACCAATGTCTGTGCCGCGTGCTGGGAGTATCATTGTGTCGCACAACGAGGAGCATGGCAACAGCTTGCTCGCGAATGTGATTTTGTCATTGTGCCGTCCGCAACGACAACAACATCAAGTAGTATTACTTGCCCTTGCTGCCACGAGGACGTGCAGGATCCGTTACCGTGTCACGCCCTGGATGTGGCCATTTCACAGCTCATGGGACAACAACAACACGCTCCACAATGGAACTCCTATGTGCAACGGATTACGCAGTGGCGAGAGGAACTTGTCCGGAGGCAGCAAGAAAACAACGAAACTCCTTTGTTGGAGCAACGCATGGCGCAATTGATCCAAGAGGAAGAAATCGTTTGGAAGCAACGACGACATGCACAACAACGGTTGCCGGGATTTTTGGGAATGGCCGTCGCCGTCGCGGCGTCCGTGGGCATCAAGTTGCTCATGGCGCAAACGGTGCGAGCCATTCAACATAATAATAGGCGTTTCTGAATGGAAATGGCCGCTCATTGCCGTGGACACGGAGCTCCACGGCAGCCACCAACAATGAGTGAAATAATGTGAGCCACTTCAAATACGGCATGTATTCTCTAGCTTGCTAGCTAGCTAGAGCTCCTAATCAGTATCACTTTTGCCTTTGCCTTTATATCTTCTGATACGTAGCATGTGGTTACAAGTAGTTTCGTTTTCCAAGAAGAGGAGGCAGATTGGCAGAAGAGGATGAAATGCAATCGCAACCTACGGCTATGCGGAGTCGAGGCAGACGATGGATGCATAGAGGTTGGGAGCGAAAAATTGCCGAGGCAGAGGATAGATGCATAGTGGTTGGGAGTGAAGTATCGAGCAAACTTGTTGCCGAATAGAATAGCTAGCTAGTAGAACCACAAGCGAACCATGGTTTACAAGATAGCTACATTCCCAAGCGTTGTGCGTTCAACATGATGTGAAGTCTGCCTTTGCTTGTGTATGCTAGATGTCATGTGTTATGAAAACCCCCACAGAACGGTATAGAAAGATCACTCATTCCACCTCTTCTTTGCCTGCCCCTCGCCGGCTTCCTAGTAGCTAGATATCTTCCCTACATGTACACAAGTGTACATGCCCCCATTTTACTTATTTGCTTGGCATTGGGCGACCGATGCTAGCTTGGACCTTTTTGGACCAAGAAAAGCTTGGCTTTGGGCGCCCAGAACGGAACCAGTGAGCGCCCCAACAATGAAAAGGTATCTTTGAAACACGTCACCATGTTTATGCTGACAGCCAAACTAAGATCTGGTGTCAACCTCAAGGATCCATCCAAAGATGAATCGAATCGAATCGAATCTGCAACAGACACAACCTGGATGATTGGGTGGTAGCCGCAGGAAAGATAGACTCTTCACTCACTTTGATTTATTCCAGCACCATGAAATTGCCTTTATCGTCGTGGTGGCTTTTGGCGTTGTCCTGCTCTGCTTTGCCAGCTGGGGTAGCTTTTTTGGTTTCTACCCCCACATCGAGCACTATTACCACCACTACACAACTGTACTCGATCCCCGACCCCTTGGATACCCTCACATCAGGCTTGGCCAGCATTTGTCGTCTTCCACATGGCGTGACGGCAGTAGAAACACCACCTACCCCCGATGGCCAATTGGATTTGTTGCCACGCTTTGCACAGTTGTGGGATGTCGAAAATTCTGCCGATTGTCGGGCGGTACGAGAGTTGTTGACTGAACTCGATGTAGTGGTAGACCTGGTCATTCCGGCAGCACCCAATTCACGGGTCTTTGTCGACCCCGACTATGACTATGCATTATCTCCTGGAACACCTGTGCCTCGGTTGGGCGTGGAGGAATCCAATGGTGATGAACTCATTTTGAGTGGCGCGGATCAAGTTGTGGCGTATTTGGAGAGTCTCAAGCAACAACAAGCAGAAATGGCAAAGGCCACAGCAGCTACCAATGATGAAGAGGACGAAGACAATGCCAAGCCAGAGGTGGAAGAAGCACTCGAAGTGGCTAAAAACGTCTGGAACAAGGTCGGGAATAATTTGGCAACTGCATTGAGATTGGGCAGAGGTTCACAGGTTTCTCCGGCTGCTACATTTACCATACCGGTTCCTGTTCGTCGACCCCCGAAACCCCTCGTGTTGTATTCCTACGAGGGCAATCAATTTTGTCGATTGGTACGGGAAGTTTTGACAGAGCTGGATATTGTCTACGAATTGCGTTCGGCAGGAAAGGAATCCCCGCGACGATCCGAATTGGCCTACATTACCGGTGGATCAAGTCAATGCCCCTATTTGCTGGATCCCAATACTGGAAGTGACATGGCGGAATCCGCAGATATCATCGCCTATTTGTACAAAAACTATGCTCGATGGACGCCGCCCAATGAACTACTGGAATGGGCATCTGACATTGTCATTCCGCTGTTCCGACCGCTCTTCCAAGGATTAGCACCCCTGCAGGCAGGATCCAATAAAGAAGACAAGGCATCCTTTGAAGAAGACATTCGTAAAGCCGAACGAGCCATTGAGGCTACGATTCAACAGCATCCAGTCGTCGTCTATACGTACGAATGGAGTCCCTTTTGTACCGAAGCCACGAGCGTATTGGATCGACTGGAGATTCCCTACCATCAAGTGAGCTTGGGCAAGGAATGGATTCCCGGACTGATCACGGAAGAAGGAGCTCAACTTCGAGCAGCATTGCTGGAAACTGCTGGACAATCATCGCTGCCTCATATCTTTGTGGGCGGCAAAAGCATTGGTGGCTTGTTCAGTGGAACTCCTGGGCTGATTCCGTCGTTGGAGGCTGGAAAACTTGATGCCATGGTGGAATCGGCGACAGAAATGCTGGAAAAGCGAAAACAATACCAAAAAGAAAGCCCCGTGGGTGGCAGTGGCGGAGCTTTTGAATAGAGATCCAGTGAAAGTAATAAAAAGCAAAGCTGGTGTCTAGCTAGCTAGTAGACTGCCTTAGATTCAGCACACGTTTTTAGACCGTGCAGAGCAAAAGTTGACGAGACGAAAAGGATATCATATTTTGACAATGCGAGTCTCCTTGGTTGGAGGGCTTTCCAGCCCTTCGAGGTGTACCGGAACCCCAAACAAAACTCCCCCGAAACATTCATCATTTGCTGCACAAAGGCAGGACTAACCATCAGCCAGATTTAGCAGGCCACAATGCCACTTCTTTCTCTCTACTAGCATGTTGTGTCTTGCATCCTGGAGTTCCTGTAGAGAGGTCCACTGACACCAGTTCTCCTCCTGGTGTCAAGATTCTTTGATGATGAAGAATTGAACCTATGGATTACCCGCAAGAGGGGCAGCTAGCGAGCACGTTTGTCAAGCTACGTTGTCTTTGTCGTTTACTCCTCCAAGAGGCTTTTGAGTTCCTAACCGTGGCACCCACCCAGCTAGACATGCAGTGGGAGATGGATATGCAGGAAACCGTCTTCTTGTTGAAGCCCGCGGATAAACCGTAGACTTTTCTTTCCTTCGACGAATTCATTACTGTGGCCGCGTGTCAAACCTCTTGCCAACCCCTCGTCGCATTTCCGGTTGTAGTTTCCTGCCTCCCACTGAAACCCAGATCCAAGAAGCTCCCGGCTCCCAAGAAGCAACGTCCTTGATTATCCCGAACCAGCTGGGCCCATCCCGGCAACAAATCGTAACTAAAGAGACATACCGGTGCCATACCGTAGCTAGCTAGCTAGCCAAAACAATAAGAGGAAGCAAAACATGTCTTGTCAAATGCATTATATATTGTTGGCGTTCCAAACAGTTGTAACCCTTTTTTCTATGCAATCAAAGTTCTGCGCTGTACCATACCGTGCCGAACAGGGCCACCAAAACAAACAACCAAAAGGGATTCCGAATCAATCCAGTCTCCGGCGGGTAGCCCACTAAAACTAACCATTGAGAAGCTAGCTGGCTATCTAGCTGAAATAGATAATGCCAGGCAAGGCAACATTCTTAGATTGTCGAGACAAAAGAACAGCATTGACTTGCAATCACCAAACCTTCAGAATACGCACCTTCTTTGACTCATGAGCGCTGGTTGGTAGTTGTCGTATTCTACTTTTCTCTTGCCAGGCTGCTGCGCCTGCGCGGAATCCAGGTTGGCAATGTTTGGCACAAACACCGACATGGGTGGCAACTGTTGTTGATGATATTGCTGCTGCTGTTCCGTATACGCCGTGAGACTGTTGGATCGTCGTCGTTTGTATTCGGGCGAAAGAGCACACGTATTGGTGCTCTGTTCGATTTCTCCCTCTTGAAGCGACTTGAGTGTCTTTAAAAAGATGACTTCGTTCCAGGCATGATCCGTCTCTTGCGTCGCGCTCATGACATGCTTGCGGATCGAGTCGACGTTGGATCTCAGCTGACAATCATTGAGGTCTTCAATCGCCTTGAGAATGGCTCTGCGGTACACCGTATTGGCCGCTGTACGGAACGGAATGGAACGACGTCATGAGTGATATTCAGAACAAATAAAAGATACAGTACCACAACGCTTGAGACGCATCCATCCATCTTGCCACAAAAAGAGAGACCAACAGAAAAAACAATGCACTTACGCTTGTGAGGGTGGTACTGTGGCTTGGCGTGCATGCTGTTACAGTTCATGGTTGAGATTGTGGCGCTTGTTGCTGTTGTCTACTTCGACTTTGACTTTCTTGCTTTCTTCTCTTTGGCGGAAGGAGCCTCACCGGAACTGGAAAACAGAACTGCGATCGTGATTGATTTGCTTGATGTTCACGAAAATGAGAATCTTTGGATCTGGGCAGGCGCGCCATGAAATATCATTAAATCCTTTTTGACAACCCTTCTCATCCAAAGCTTTATTGCGGCCATCCGTCACGTCCGTCACCGCCCTCCATCAACCACCTGTCACTTTTGCTATCATTGACTGTTGGATCCTCTTGCAGAGCTCAGGTTGCATAGCAGGAGATGCTGAAGCCTGGATTGGATTCCTTCATGTCAATCAGATGAACCTGCTGATGCCATGTGGATAGTGACTTGTATCCTCCTGCTTTTGGCAGGCAATGGGAGGGCCTTTTGGATACCCCATCACCAAATACTGCCTTTTACGCGTCTCGGCTCGACTTCTTTGGAAACCATTTTGGAGTTGGATCCACACCAAGTTCTAAAATCGGACACCTTGCATAACATACAACAGTTGGTGGACCAACGGGGGGAAGCCCGATGGGAGGGAAACTATCCACAAGCAGATACTCTCAAAGAACAAATCTTGCAAGTCAGCTTGCCACAGGGAGTGGTCCTGTCACTGGAAGATATCCCACGGACAAAGGGAGGGGGGTCTCATTGGAAACTGCACTATCAGGTTGCAACGACAACATCAAGAGAAAAGAAGCTGTCCGTCTTGCAATTGGCGCATGCGGCGTTGGGGCTGGCGGTTTCGTGCTCTCAAACCATGACACCCCTCCAGGAAAAGCAGCAACAGCTGGATCGGTTGGTACATCAGGCCAAGACTCTCTTGAGGCAATGGAAATCTATTCATGAACAACGAAATCTTACGATAATGGAATCAAGTGCGAATAGTCCTAGATTATCAAACAATCCACATCTTGAACAAGAAAATAGCCAAGCATGGCAGTCCATCTTTGTTCACAAGCTGCACCATGATAATGACGACAACGACGCTGACTACATTACCGGTTGGTCCACCGTGGAAACCACGTTGCGAGGTCGCAAGGCGGCCGATGCAGTGTTTTGGTTTGCCATGGCGGGGGTGAGCGACGCGGAGCTCTATGACTTATTGTCCGACGTTTGCATCAAAGAATTGCGCCGGTTTGGAACCAAACCAACCTGTCGTGCCAAGGACATTTTGCAAATCATGGATCGATTTGCAGCATCGGGCGTACACTCGTCAGCGTCACGACAGTTGGAACACGTGGCCAAGGAATGTTTGCAAACCAAAGACGACGAAGGCGAACCGGACGAATTATTGTTGGACCTTCACTCGGATCGATGTTTGCTGCTCTTGTGGAAGTTTTCCTCCCGACAAAAGAAGCAACAGTTCTTTCTACAATTGGCACGAAAGCACTGGGAAACGCAACAAAGTGACCCAGAGCATGTGACAAGGGATACTCTACATGGCGGGCTTTCACCAATGTTGGAACGAAACGTCCCAGAAACGAGCAAGGAAGACGACACTGTTGTTTGGGATGAACGATTTGCAGACCCTACACGACCTCTTGTGATTGATGTCGGTTGTGGTATGGGCTTGTCACTGCTGGGGTTAGCGTCTTTGGGACAGGCTGATGGCATTGATCCGACGATTCAAAGTAACGTGGAATGCGATTCTCTTCCAGCAGTACTGTATGACGATTGCAACTTCTTGGGGGTTGATTTGAGCGGGTTGACCATTGGATATGCGCAAGGAATTGCGGAGCGATGGGGACTCGGTGATAGATTGCATTGGGAAGTGGATTCGGCAGAAGCACTACTCCAATGCGTCATCGATTCCTATCCAGGTCCAGTTTTGCTGTGCTTGATTCAGTTTCCAACTCCGTATCGACTGCCGACAACACAGAGTGGAGGCAATGCTCAGCTCCCAACGTCTGCCTTGGATGGGTTCATGGCATCACCCAGCCTACTCAAATTGATTCATCAAGTGTTATCCAAAGAATGCACCACTCACGGCAAGCATGGAGTGGGACATTTGATACTCCAATCCAACTGTGAGGATGTTGCCTTGTGGATGCATGACGCAGCTACCACGGAGTGTGGCTTTCAAGCCATGCCGATGCTTCATCCTGTCCAGGCAGCAAAAACGGACGATTTGCCACAGCGCACCCAAAACTGGATCGACATGGGAGGCGCCCGTGCTGTGGGGTCAACCTGGAGTGCCGTACCCTTGCTACCAAGAAAAGGATCCACCGAAACGGAAGTGGCTTGCCGCATCAATCGAACTCCCATTCATCGATGTGTGCTGACTCCAAGGTTGGAACTGTAGCATCAAATGCAACGAAGTACCTGGCATTGTGAATTGGGAAATTCTTGAAGGAGCCAACAACATACGGGCGTGCTACTCTATTTTAGGTGGGCAACAGGGAGGTCTCTGGTTGACAAGAATGTCCAGGTGAAGCCAGAGGGCTCATTTGCAGGACCTCATGGAAAATTATCGCCAAGTAATAGCTAGGTCTCACTAATCTTTCAAGTAAACACCGATCTAGCCACGTCCAATCCAAAGTGACGATTCAGTAGTTTAGCAATGACTTAAATGGCTAATTGTGATTACCCGCATTCATCAAACAACTTCCTCTTGTCCCTCTTGGCTCGGTAGCTCAGGTCTTTGGGGCCAACCACTGCCAGAAGCAACAGAAGACCCATCTTTGCCTGTGGATACAGGACTGCTATCAAACCATGTCAGATAGGTATCATTAAAAGCAGCTTCAAAGTGCCCTGGCATGTCCCTCACATCTTTTTTGGAAAACGCAATGAGCTGCTCTCGTAGAAACGGCCGTATCAATTCCAGGCAGCTCCCGCCCTCGCTGTCTTTGTTGTCATCCCGGTCCACATAGGTAGCCAGTGAATTTCCCACAATGCAGAGTGCCCTTGGGTTTTGCTGCAATTGACCCCAGTTGGCCCATAGAACGTTTTCATACAAACCCCTGGGACAATGAGGCATGAAAAAGAGAGAAGTAATACTAGTGGATTGTTGGTGGCAGCTTCGCTTGCCCTTTTCATTTTGCATCAATACTTCCATGTTGTAAGCTTCTTGAAGTACTTGTCGCTCTACAACGGTCACCAGAGGATCATAGTACACCATGGAGCAGATTCTCTGGTCGGCGTGATCATGTAAGATGATTGCCTGCAGTTCTAGAGCCAATGCCAGCTGCCACAGAGGTCCCGAGTAGTTGGGATATCGTCGTGCAAAATTGCCAATTCCATAGCAGACAATTTCATCCACAATCACAGCCGACGACGAGGCTTCCTCTTCCTTATCATCCGCTGCCGATAAAAACAAAGCCCAAAGTCGCACCAAATTCTCGTAAAATTGGCTCTTTCTCATGTTCTGTGAACACGTGGTCACTTGAGCTCGGATCTCTTGGGGATCTTTTTCTGGCTCGTCGTCGTCGTCGTGGTCCCCATTCCCCGCGTCTCTTCGAACAGATGCATTTCCATGTTTACGCTTCGCGACCTTGCGCCTGTTGGCATTGCGATTGACAACGATCCATTCGTCGGATGGTGGCATCAGTGCAATGGAGGAGGTCGACAAGCGATTAGCCACTTTGTTGATGAGGTCGCGTATCATGAGAATGGAACATCTACTTGGAGATACGCTGGGAGGGATTGTGGGGAAGGCAATTAACAGCTCTGCTGGAATAATAGGATCTCTTGAAGCACTCCTTATTAATGCTTTGATTGCGAGATTCCAAAGATACTTAGGCAAATTTACTTAACAGCATCCATCTGGTGAGCTCTCACTTTTTCACAAGATGACCTAGGATTTTGCAGATCGAAGCCCATGCTCTTCATATTCTTCTGCAAATCCCTGCATCTTTGGCACTTAACTTGACAGCGACACTCGACTCGTTCGTGTGCACAAAAGAATCTGAATCTCGTAGTTATTAGTGCTAGTACTCGAAGTTTGTAGAATCCGGTGCCATGGTGATGAAAGCCCAGACAGCCCTTGCCCTGGCAGGTTTGGCACTTGTGGGAATTGCGTTTACCAGTGTGAGTCGACGACGAAGTCTTGACAGTGTAGTGTTGTGAGCATGAGAGGAGCGCCTTTTGTAAACTGACCCAAATCACTTCTACTTGTGCGCGACATTTATTTATAGTTTAACAACAATGCCCAGATTGGTCACGATGCTGATGTAGTCAACTCGAACGGTCTCGAAGAAAACCGTGGATTGCTCTTGTGGGGAAGCGGCGAACCCAAGTACAATGGAAAACGAGGGCAAGAGTACTGCTACAATGTCAACATTGGATCTGGAACCATGTGCTGTGACGGAAGCTACGACGTTGTCGAGGGTGGATTTAAAAAGGGTGCCGTGTGCTTCCTAGAAAAGAGCTATACTTGCACGGACCTGCACAATGCTGTTTTTGTTCCAGATGGAGAGATTACCATGGATACCAAGATGCTGGGAAGGAGAGTCTTTCCAACGATTGCCACGGGAAGTGGGTTCTCCATCAATGGGGACCCCTCCAAGGGCTTTGTCGCGGCTCCGTTTGACTACGCCATTCGTTCGGGAAAGCAAAATGGACTCACTACAAAGTTGACCAGTGCGGATAGTCCCAGGCTCAACAACAAAAAGTTCCTTGTTTCGGGGTGGGATGAGACTCAAGAGCTCAGTGACCACGAGATTGAATGGGCCGGCCCCAGCACGATTGGTTTGGGAGGGGAGTCCTTTGACACTCCTGCTGTCATCATGAAAGGTGGAAGTGGTGCCATGATCTACCTCGATGACCAAGATGGAATCTTGCACGGATCTGGATACCGTACACCCATCAACCCCGAAGATGGCTCCAATAGTCCAACTAGAGAGGTGGAGTTCTGTTATGAGTCCTCGTCGGCAGCCTCTGGTTCTGTCTTCCGTGACGGAGACGACAAGCAGAATGGCAAGAAGGACGACGACAAGAAAGAGGACTCCAAGACGGAGGACAAGAAAGAGGACTCCAAGACGGAGGACAAGAAAGAGGACTCCAAGACAGAGGACAAGAAAGAGGACTCCAAGACAGAGGACAAGAAAGAGGACTCCAAGACGGATGATAAAAAGGACGAGGACAAGGGCGGAAAGAAAGAACAAACGAAAGTCAAGATCTGTCACGGCACTGCCAGCCCAACGAATCCATATGTACTCATCGAGGTGGCTGATGATGCGGCGTCCGACAACCCTGGGTCTTTGGGCGGCCACATCAACAACCCAAAGCACAATGATCCAGAAAAAAACAAGAATGCTGATATCCTGATTGGAGATGAGCCACCCAAGTTCCCAGGATGCAAGACGAACGACCAATGCCAAGTCTGCTGTCCAGATCAAGACTGCTTCGGTGGAAAGTAAGTGCAGCTACTGGACGCCTTGTTTCGCTGTGACTCTCGCTGTCATTCGAACTTCTCTCAACATAAATGTTTTTGTATTTCACAGGGATGAGGACGAAGAGAAGAAGGACGAAGAGAAGAAGGACGACGAGAAGAAGGAACGACGAGAAGAAGGACGACGAGAAGAAGGACGACGAGAAGAAGGACGACGAGAAGAAGGACGACGAGAAGAAGGACGACGAGAAGAAGGACGGAAGAGAAGAAGGACGAAGAGAAGAAGGACGAAGAGAAGAAGGACGAAGAGAAGAAGGACGAAGAGAAGAAGGACGAAGAGAAGAAGGACGAAGAGAAGAAGGACGACGAGAAGAAGGACGAAGAGAAGGAAGAAGAGAAGGAAGAAGAGAAGAAGGACGAGTAAGTGTGTCGGAGTGCTCTTTGGATTACATTGTGGCTCAGACTTGTTGACACTCACGTGCCCTTTATCCTCGGCGTTAGGCCAACCAAGCCACCACCCCCAGGTTTGTATAGCGTTGTTTGCTTCAATCCAAGTGCATGTGCGAAATCATCGTCTTACGCCGAGCAATCTTTCTTTCACAGACACGCCACCATCACCAGGAATCAAGGGTGATCCGTAAGTTCTGTTCTCGCTTCTGGTTGTGCCGTTTCACCAATGAAGTAAGCCTTCCTCACCCAGTATACAACCTCTCAGACACATCAAAAAGTGGAACGGTGACCAGTATGACGTGAGTTCCGGCTTGGAGATTGCATCTGTTGTGTGAGTGTCTTGGTTCGACGGCGCTTCTGACCAATTCCACTTGTCATGATGTAGTTCCACGGGGGCTGTGATCTAGTCATGGTTTCCAACCCGGACTTTAACAATGGCCAAGGACTCTCCGTCCACATTAGGACAAAGATTGAGCACTGGTGAGAACATTCGAAGCCTGTATCAACACACTTCCCAAGCGAAAAACTGCTAACGACTGATCTTTTGTGGCACAGGTGGTCTTATATTGAGAGCGCCGTTATCAAAATCGGCGACGACACTCTCGAGATCAAGGCTGGAGTAGACGACCGCCAGTTCTGGGTGAATGGCAAGCAAGGACACCGCTTCCGGGCCAGCCGAAACTTGCCTTTCACTATTGGGGGCTTCCATGGACGCTTCCGCGCCATCAACAGGATTCTGACCCAATTCAAACTCTATCTTCCCAACGATCAGAACATTGTCATCAAGTCCACCAAGAACATCCTCCGCGTAGACATGGAGAACTGCAACGAAGAGGACTTTGGAACTAGTTTGGGCCTCATGGGAACCTTTGGAGAAGGTTTGATGTTGGGTCGTGACGGACGTACTGTCTTCGAAGACCCAAACGAGTTTGGAATGGAATGGCAAGTACATTCCTCCGAGCCACAACTCTTCCATGAAGCAGAGGGGCCTCAGTACCCCCAAAAGTGTCAAATGCCAACTTCCAAGACTTTCCTCCGTCATCAGGAACAGGATCGCGAAGCAAGACGTCTACTGGTGGAAGGCATCAGCCGAGAAGACGCAGAGTCCGCTTGCGCCATTGCCAACAAGGATGAATTCAATGATTGCGTCTTTGACGTGATGGCAACCAACGACATCGATATAGCCGCTGCCGTCTATGGTTCCGCTCAGCTTTATGGCAACGCATGAAGAAGCAAAAGTGCAACCAAGGGACCCGTAGAGACCTCCTTTTGAAGTGCATGTTCGTTTAGTATATCTCCTGCAGTAAGAAGGAGGAGAGAAGGTCAGCTCCCGTACAAGGTGAAGCGATCAAAAAGAAGTGGAGAATGGACTAGCTTTCCGTGTAGCCCATATAAGAATAATCCAATTGCATCAATATTGCTCTGGTACCTGTATTGAGAAGACATTCATGTTTGCTTTGGTTGCTGCTGCTATCAGCACGAGATTGCGGAGAGTACAACCTTTCGTACTGCCGCTACGTTTGTTTGACCATCGCGAAGGCATATCGCCTTGTGACTTTCCGGAAACGAACCTGGTTTACACGAAGCCCATCGCTACCTAAGCAAGAGCAGGTCCGATTCAGTAGGAAAACCTCAAGTGTTTCAAGAAACCTAACATCTTCTCTTTCTCGGCATCGAAGTCTTGGGGAGACTCCAATGTCGCAACAAGGCAAGATGCTTCCTCTGTCCATGAATGATCCAATCCATATACCCAAGCAAAGCTCTTCAAAACGTCATACTCATGGCAGAGCTTGAGAGCTTGAGTAACTTCCAACTTGATGACAAACCACAGGACAACACCAAAGAACGATGCTAATGTGTCGGGGTGGTTGTGGCCCAGAGTTTTCCGTCGACCATTCCATGCTTCAAATATCAGGATTTCGGCACGGGAAAGCTCGTCTGAGTCCAAGAACCACTGGCCAAGGTAATGCAACGCCTTCAGGTAAGTCGGATGATTTGTCCCAAGAGAGCGGCTGCTCTCTGCAACTCTGCTCATTTCAGGAAAAGCGTCCATGTCGCCTTGGGCTTGCCACATGATGGCCCTATGACAACGGGTTCTCAGGGAGTTGGGTCCGTTCATTCCTTCTTGCTCAACGTAGCTCTTCAGAACGTCGTACAGGATTTGGCCGGCCCTTTTAAAGCTGGTCTGGTCTCGTGCCACGACAGCAATGTTGCTGCTAAAGACACTTCACGATGGATCGGATTCACTTGACCCGTGCAATGCTTTCTCGTAGTACGCCTCAGCATCTTCCAGGCTACCCAGTTGGTGAAGAAGCCGGCCGCAATTACACATAATTATTGGCATAGAACCTGGGAATTCAGCTGGAGGGTCGTCGCAACATCGCTCTAGGCTTGCTGAAAGCAGCAAATAGTAGGATTTGGCAACCACAAGACGCCCCTGGACCCTAAAAAACTCTGCAGCATCGCTCAGTGTTTTCATGGTCCTTGGGTGGTCGCTTCCCTCTGTTCGAAGCAACCCTTCCACTGCTTCTTGCTGAAGTTTTGCAGAATCTTGGTGAAGTTTTGCAGCTTCAGATGTTTCACCAAGAGATGCAAGGCTCACTGCCAGAAGACTCATGGACATGAAAGTCGTCGACTCTTTGGGTTGCAACTCAAGGGATATCTGAACAACCTCGCGTTGAAGGGCCGCTGCCTCTGCGTATCTTCCTTGAGTGGCAAGATTGCGCCCCAAACAGGTCTTTGTTTCGATCACAGGAGAAGTGCGCTCAAGAAACAGCCGTGATCCGTGCTCTAGCACTCCTCGATGAAGCACCTCCGCCTCGGCAAGTTCTCCATTATATTCAAGCAAAGAGGCAAGAAGTGACATCCAATCTATTATGTAGGGATGCCCCAAACCGAGCACTTTCTTTCCCACCGACACCACATGTCTTTGATGCTGAATTGCTTCTTTGAGCTTGCCATCAACTCTCAAGCACACTGCCACGCCACTCATTGAACTCAGAGTATGCTCGTGATCTGGTCCCAAGACTTTGCGGCGACCATCAAGTGCCTTCTGCGACATGTCGAGATCCAAAATTGAGATCGCAAGGTTGTGCATGCAGGTGAGTGTGTGGGGGTGGTTTTCGCCTAGATGTTGACGCATGCCTATCAGCGTTTGTTCGTAGATTGATGTGGCCGCTGAGGTGTTTCCCATATGCTTGTGCAAAAAGGCCATGTTGTTGCCCAGTAAAAGTGAAGAATGCGTATGCTTGCCGCTAACGGTATGTGATTCATAGAGATCACCTGCAAGTTGTAAAATCCAGTGTTTCATCAATCTGATGATTGTCTTGTTGACTTGGTGGACTCCATTGGATTGATTCATGCGGTCTAAGATTGCAATGCGATCTGCTTCCTTGGATGCCTTGGCTTTTGCGACATCGATCCTTGAAAGCTGATACAATATTTCGTCACATTTGGATTGAAAGCTGTCCAAGAAACCTTCATCTTCTTGACCTGGAAAAATCACCTCCAGACTGCCTCCCTCGATGACCGTCAAGTATACTTCCCACAGAACCCAAATTTTCCCCAGGGCATGCATGGGATCTTCCCATTGATCCAAACAGAGAACGGTTTGTTTGAGTGTTCCTATCCGGATGGGCAATTCGTCCATCAACAGCTTTCTCAAGGCACGGGTTGCTTCCCCGCGATCGCACAGGTTCCTCCAAGCTACTTGGTCGACTGAGAAGACATCAATCCAAACCACTGCCTCTTCTTGCTTCTCGTGAAGACGCTTCATGACTTGCACAAAGCGTGACAATGTATGCGCTCCGGTGTAGGAGCAAAAGAGCGTGGCTTTTTCTTGTTTGGCAGAGGCACCAAATACATCCAAGTGATCGGCCAGGGCTCCCGTGTGGATACCCCTTTTTCCAAGCAGCGTGGGTATGCCGTAGTCTCGGACAAACCACATGGGGCATCCAAAATCCATCATGCAGCTGATCTCCGGAAGTGGAATGAACACTTGCAAGAACCACGAAAGCGGAATACCTGCCCAGCTCACGACTGTTTCCAGCTCGACACCATTTGCGTCATCGCCGCGAGGGCAAAGATCCGAAGATGTTTGGCAGAGATACCGGGAGAGTTCCTTCAGCGAGTGGTCATCCCGCTCCTGCTCCTCCATCAAGGCTTCAAACTGACTCATCATAGGACGTAGTGTAGCAAGCGTAATGTAAGGTATGGCATCGGGTAGGGGGTTGGGAGTGTTGTCTTTCTGGGATCAGGAACTGCAAAAGCAAAAACATGTCTGGATAAACATGTTCTTCAACTAGCTACCGTAGAGCAAAGATAATAAGAAAAAGATCTTGCAATGTGTCAGCTAGCTAGCTTAGCTAGTTAAGGAAAAATCCTTAAAGTTCAGTGTCCATCCTTCGACTGTTCACGTTGGGGTGCGGCTCCGCAAAGTGGCGCGAAGATTATTTAGGGGCTGCCGCTGGCCGCCTCGGTCGCATTGGATAGTTTGGCAAAATGCAATCCTTTTCTTTTGGCCCGAAGAGACGACACCGGCAACAACGGTCAACAACAGCACTCTCATTTCCATCAGACAACGACAGCCATTACATCGTATTGGATTTGGGACGGCTACTTACGCGAGTGAGTAAGTATAGAGGAGGAACCATGGCAACTCTGTGTGCCACTGCCACAACAACAACGACAACCATGACGACGGTCACTCCTGATAGGCCGACTATTTGCTTGGCCAACCTCGTAAAGGCTCCGCTTCAGCAAAGGATGATGTTGATCCGTCTGGATGCTCCCCCCGATGCGGAGCATTGGACGGGACCTCCAGTCCTTTGGCCCTGCATTTACTTTCGGAATTACAGCGCGATGATGGAAGAATTGGCTGCCATGCATAAATCCATGATGGAATCGAACAAGGATGTTGACAAGGACGTTGCCGACTTTATATTCTACGGAGAGAGCGAACTGAACATATTGGCTACAAACTTTATCGATGCAATCAAGAAGGAAGAAGAGACTGCCAAGGCGGAAGGGAGGGCCGTTGATAAGGATCGCTGCAACACCGTGTCGCCGATGTTACTTCTGGAGACCAACGAATTGATGCTAAATCCCGATGAAACCACTCTCCACAAAATGGACCCCGAGTTATTGGGAGAAATGGCCAATGGATCTCCTGATCTGATTCCAGCTGTCAGGTGGGTACTTGACTACGCCAAAGGGCTACAAAAACCGCGTCATGCTGCTGTCAAGCGAAAGATGAAGTGGATTTCCGCCAATTTCAGCAAGAGACCCCGTGTCACCAAGGCACTCCAATATACTGAAAGTGCCCGGAAGCCTGCTCCTATTGCTACAGCCGAGACCCCTGCTTCTGTCTCGGAATCTGAAGGATCAAGGAAGCCTGCTGCTGTGTCTACAGCCAAGAAGCCTGCAACCATTGTGGATCCACCAGTGCAAGCCGAGAAACCGGCTGCTTCAGTTGGCCTGACCGCCAAGAAACCTACATCCACTGCTCAGCTAGCTGCTGTTGATGTGACGGATACCAGAGCCAAGAAACCAGCTGCCACCGAAGAGGATCAGCCGGATGCCAAGAAACGCGCTGCCGTCCCAGAAACTGCTGCCAAGACTCCTGCGTCCACAGATGACCAGTCAAAGAAGAAACCTCGCCAGTCGGAGGCTTCTGCAAAGCCCGTGGAAGTGGATGCAGTCATGGAGCCCCTCACAGATGTCAACAAGATCCACGAAGAAGCTCAAAAGGCCTACCCTGTTGTCTACAAGAAGATCCTGCCCCTCACAGATGTCAACAAGATCCAGGAAGAAGCTCAAAAGGCCTACCCTGTTGCCCACAAGAATATCCTGGACACATCGACCCAGTCCAACCACGGCAATGCCTCTGCCAACAACAATAGCATGTTTGACATGGACGAAGTTCGTCGATACCAGGGTGGCGTCAGGATTCAGGATGTGCCAAGATTTGTTCAGGAGCAGGAAGAAGCCAGCGCCGCTCAAGAAGTTCCCGAAGAAGCGACGCAGCAAAAAGCCGCCACAAAGCAAAGAGAGTCTCGGACTGAAACGGCTACGTGGGTGCCTTATGCTGAAATCTCACCGTCCGCAAAGAAACAAGCAGTGGCAGGGAAGAATGCTGCGTCGAAACCCGCTGCAAAGACTCGTGGGAAGGCCGGTAAAAAGCCACATAACACAACTGCTGCCACTGTTGAGATGGAGGATGATCAGGCCAAGAAAGCTGCGGAGGTTGATGCGTCGGCTTGCAGCGAACTTCCAGCCCCCGATTCGCCTGAGATGGACAAACCGCTGACGGAGGTCGAAGAGCAGCCCGACGTTGTGATTGAGTCTACCCCAACAGTGGCAGCAAAGAAAGGCGCTAAACGAAAGAAAGGGACCCGCGGAAAGCCTCCTCGCCCACAAGGGAATACCAAGAAAAGAGGCCAATCTGCAAACACTCCGTTGGAAACACCAGCGAAAGGCACAGCTGGAAACAAGAAAGTGAACTCCACTTCTCGAGGTCGAAATACAGGGAGCAGCATCAAGAAAAGCAAAACCCAACATGGGCATGAGCGGATTCATTCGCACACCTTCACTACGACATTTATAGGCCCTCGCCCCGAAGCGCAACGAAAAATCCCAACCTTTGGTCAGGTCAAGTCTGTTCTAGAGGAACTTGGGTACTCTTGGGTGAAGGCAAAAGGAAAGATCGCGAGATATTGCTGTCCGTCCTATGGCTCGGACGACGCATCAAGCAAGGAAAATGGCAAGGACTATGCAGAAACAGAAGAAGAGTTCCGAACGCTGCTTTGCGCGAAGGGAGTAGCAAGACCAAAGCAATTCGTGAAAGCTGATAAGTTCAAGAAGCTTGAACGTTGGGTCAGATCAGCAGTGGTTACATTGTTGAAACCAGGAGCAACTATGCCCCAAGTAACAGTACCCGAGACAGTGCCGAAGACTCTTTACGATATTGGGTACTCCCACTCTACCAATCAGTTGAAAAAGGGGCCTTATGACGCTCGCGTTTTGGTGCAGAAAGATCTGATCAACATCTTGACCTACGAGGGACTCAGCAGCGATTGGTGCGATTTTGACAAGGCATCCCACGACAACCTGCTGCTCCTGCAAATGTTCTTGGCATTCTATGAACGAGACATGTTTGAACCACCACCGTAAGTTCGAAAGGCGCCAATCTGAGGGTCCCCAGGTGTGTCTGATTAACATTTTTCCTTCTTGTTTTCGCAGGAAACAACTGGAGAAACGACGAGGTAGAAGTCGGTCGCAGAGTCCTTCAATTCGGGTCACCCCAAACTCCAGGAAAGCTCCGACGAAAACATCCAAGGCAAGAAAGGCTCAGGTCGCAAACACTTCTGCCGCCGTTGAGACGCCCACGACTACCCAGGTCGCTACGAAAGCCCCGCCGGCTGAGGTCGTCCCACCCGTGCAAGCGCCCATGGTTGCTACGAAACCCGCCGCTGCTTCAAGTGAGCCCCCCCCGACAGAGGTCGGGGAAACTCAGGTCAACGAGGAAGCGGCGCCTGTTGCGACATTGCCCCCAACGAAAACTCCCGTGGTCGTCCATGAAGCGACTGCTCCTACTGTTCCGTTATCTCCATCAGTTGACAAGACTGCCCTGGCGAACTGCAATGGCAGAGCTGATGGTGGGAGGGCCTCAGTTGCTGCACGTGGCAAGGACTCGAGTGCCGTGAACAATTTAGAGCGTACCTTCCAGAGTGTAGCTAGTGTGAATGCAACAGACGGCAAAGCAGTTGTCCTGGCACCTGGTTCACACTTCCAGCAATCGACCTTCTCTGTCCTTCGCCTATTGCGAGGATTTGTCCAAAGTCGCCTAAAAGAAACGGGCAAGCAGCCGGCAACTATGTTCATCTGCGGTTCACCTGGCATTGGCAAGACGACGGCAGTCGACTACTGCTGCGAGCAAGTCAAGAATGACTTCTCTTCTCAGGATGGGAGTTGCAGGCACAGTGGCGTGACGCCTGTCGTTGTTAGTATCAACTGCTCCAAGTTCGGAACGGGAGCAGAGGTATTGGATTCCGTCAAGGACAAGATATGGGCGGAATGCAAAGGTACCGGCAGTGCCCGCAACGACAATGTATTGAAGAAGCAACTCACGTCCACAAACAAGAATGACCCAAGCAGGCGCTTTCTGATTCTCGTCTTGGATGAAATTGACCAGCTTGTCCACCAAGACTCTGTAAGTGAAAATCCCAGAGACAATAAGGAAAAGCTCATTGACTTCTTCAGCGCGTGGGCAAGTGACTCGTCCTACCGCGTTGCTTTGATTGGAATCGGGAACACAATGGCTGGTCCAAAGTTTCGCCGCTTGAAGGGCCTCATGAGTGTACCGGTAAGTTTGAGTCGATGCTGTCATCGCTACGTGTTTACAGTTCAGGAAACTCAGCAGCCCTTCACACGTTTTACTAGGACGACCAAACTATTACCTTTGGGGCGTTCAGTTCGAAAGACTTGGAGGCTATCATGGCGGGTCGTCTCGGTGACAAGTCAATTGTCGATCCCAAGGCTTTGTCTTACATCGCCAAGAAATTTGCCAACTTGAAAGGAGACGCCCGTCCGGCAATGGAACTGCTCACCAAAGTGTTGAAAAACGCCAGGGAACGATCGCAGAAGCAGGCGGGAAAAGCAGCTGATGGTTTCATGGTAAAGATCAGAGACGTCGTCAAAGCAGCGACCAAAGAGAGCCAACTACCGAATCTCATCGAGCAACTTCCACTACATGGAAAGATGATGGTATACGTTGCCGTTGGCCTGGCTCAGAAGAATAGAGCTTCGGAAGAGAACGTCAAATTGACTCGGGGTGAATTGTTTCGTGCAGGCAGCGCCTTCTTTGCCGAGAAGTTCGGAGAACATTCGGAGTTTAGTCCTTCCGACTGGAATGCACACATTGATGCCATGGATGACATGGGCTTGGCAATCATCGAAAGACAAGCCTATTTTGCGCTACCCGACGACACGATTGTGTTCGAGCACTTTCCCGATGAGCTCGAAACAGCCCTGCAAGATAGCTTGACCGGGGACGATCGAACCTTTTTCGGGTACTAGGAAGAGGGCGGGATTCGATTCGCAGCTCACATGTATGTGTGGACGAATAGGTGAACATCAGGGAAGTGTTATTCCCCTGTGTGATAAGTGCTGAGCAATAAAGTTATAGATGGTATTCAGAAACTTGTTGTGCCTTGCTTGTTTGTGAAGTCTCTTGATCTTGACGCATTCTGTGTGTCAAAGACGCCTGAAGGTTCCAACATCACATTTACTTGACACTTTCTGTATATTCCGGTATGCCTGAGACACTTGATACCAAAATCACAGCTACCAGTACTTGAAACTTGGACCCTCCTAGCTAGCTTGGTAGCCGTGGCCATGCATTCAGTACATTTCCTTCCCAAAGCAAAAGATATGCTGGAGGCATGTCAAACTTTGCTTCAGGCCGCTGTCGATTGCATCAAGGCGACATTCGGCACAAAGCAGTGCTTAAGGCTGAGAAGAGCACTCAGAGAGACCCTAGCTAGCCAATAGATCTTGTCATGCTTCCTTCCTAAACTGCTGGTGCTCGACCAGAGCGCCCAGGAGAGACTCTAGCTGGCCAGACAGCCAGTAGATCGCTCTTGGTTGGCTGTTGACTGTCACCCTTCTTCTTCGCTGAGGACCTTTCCCTGCAGAAGCTTTGTCAAGTGCTCCTCTACAACGAGTTTCCAGATTTTGTAACCTTCTCGCGACAGATGCAATTGGTCATAATCGAACAACTTCTTGTCGGGCATGGCTTTCCCTCCCAAGACCGCCCCCGGAACTTTGCCCGACTCACCACAAAACATGGTGAGGCAATCCACATAAATTATCGTGTTTTTGTTTTGATCTGCCAGTTCCACCTTTTTCTTGCAAGCTCGTTCCATGGCATGTGACATTTTAAAGTACTGTTTCCGGCACCCAGCGTCGTATTCCAACCATGGTTCAAACTTGGGACCCAAGACAATCAGATTCTTCTTTATGGTTGGATCGGACTTGGTGCTGTTGGAGGTAAGTGGTGGAAAGACCATTTCGAGCAACCTTCGAAAGGATATCAGAGTATCAGCCAAAAGGATACTTTGGGAAATGTCATTTTCTCCGGCACAAAAGATAATGGTGATTGACTGTTGGAGTGTGCGGGAAGAAGAAGAATCCTGGAGCACCTCTGCTATGAGGGGTAGCACTTCTTCCACAGTAGCCCCGCTTAAACCTCGCACCGAAACAGACGCATCGGCTGGAGCCGGCAGCAGATCAATAGGCCATCGTTCAATATCAGAGTCTCCCCCCAGTGCCACCAAGTGAGGCTGCGGCTCAGAGGTTGCCATCGTCGTCTATTCCAGAACCTTGACAAATTGACAACAGGTTCCTCAATCCTCGATCTAACCAGCCGATTATCCTTAACCCTTATTCAGTTACCAGTATGGGGCTAGAAAATTTTTCTAGTCTTAACCCTTTGAAACTCTGAGACGCAGGGCGACATCAGGTGCAACCAACAATTTCGACCTGGCTTCCATTTGGCTCGTTGGCTCATCTTTTGTTGTCCACGTTGGTGATGGTTTGGAGGTTCAGGTGGGCACTGGTGGGAACTCACCTTCAACTCACGCCCAACTCACACACTCAACTCACACCCTTACTCACCCCCAACTCACTTACTTATAAAGAACTAACTTTCTTTAAACCTATACTTTCTTTGGTCTTCCTGAATCGCTGTGGTGCATGCTGGGAAATTGCCACAGTGGAGTGCGCTTACTGGAGCCAATGGATCTTCACTGGAAGCAAAGCTTCAAAATGCAAGGTAATGGACCCCCTAATTACATAAAGGATGGTGGTTTCAGTGGTGTCGATGTACTACCAACGACGGAGACCGACCTGAGAAACGCTGTACACAAAGAGCTCCCTGTTGCATTGCCGGCGGCTGCTCATACTTGGGAGCCTGGGGCAGACGTGCCCTGCCAGGATGTTGTTGTTGCGAGGGAAGAAGCTAGCGCTATCGTTTTGTCTTCTGACCTAGAGAGCATACGTAGTGCCATCTTTGACGGGGCCTACGTTGGAACCACAGAAGACGCTACGCACGGCCCCATCGATGCCCTCATTGCTAAGCCCATCAAGAGGCTTTGCCTGCGCTGTGGGTGTGCTGTCCAAACAGATAGGAACGGTACGGACAGTAGACTAGTGGCGCCACCTTGAAGAAACTGAGGCCAGACTTTTTGCTTTGGTTACAGTCTGGTATTCTCGCATTCAAGGGCGAGGACAAGGCCTTCGGAGTACCCATGCAGAATGCCCGAGAGGACCTCAGAAGCAAAATGAATGTGTTTTCCGACACATTTTTTGGCACGTTGCCGTACCAACTCGCATACGCTTGCTCTGGTTCTCAAGTGGAATTTGTCGCCTTTATGCGCACCAACACCCAACGCCCAAGAGAAGTCCAGTTGACGAATAGTGTCGATCTTTCGACGGTGAACGGACGCAGCTTGTGCGTTCGATACGCCATCAACATTGCGAGACTTCTTGTGGCATTAAATCAAGCAAATACTGGAGGGAATGTAGTCCGACTTGGCCAGACAGTCACCACGGCGACAAGCCATGTCCTCATTGGCGGCGAATATATCACAAAAAAGACAAAATACTACACAGCTGAAGGCGTCATTGCTGCCCTCTACACTACCATTCTAGGCCGTCGTATCCCTCATGTAGTCTACCCGACCGCAAAGCCGATCTTCCGGGCTGGTGTACTAACTGTGAACCTTCAGCCGGTCGGTTTCTGCGGTGTTCGACCAGAAAGTGTGCAAGAGTGCAAGAGGGCGGCTCGTGAACTTTTGACGGCAATCCACTCGCTTCACTATCACAATTATGTACACCGAGACATCCGACAAGCAAACGTCATGCGGGCGGGTGGATCGTGGTACATCCTAGATTTGGAGTGGGCCGATTATGCGACAATACCATTGTGGATTGATTAATCTAACGATCTAAGAGATGTAAAGTTTGTAGAGTCGCGTGAATTTGGTGCCATTTGGGCTGGTGCAGTGCTCCTGCAGTTTCCACGTCAGTTGAAGCCACCTTCTGCGTCAGTTGAAGTCGTTAAATCCTGATGATGACCTAGTGTTTCAAGCTATTTAACGAGTAGCCACCAGGTGACTTGTAAGAGACTCAAAGACTTAATCAAAATGTACCACTTGAGTCTTTTGCGAGCACACACAGTGAAACCAGTCTGTACAATAATGAAAATTCAAAAAATACTAAAAAGGATAAAAGTAAAAAAGTAAAAACCTTGATATTGAGACTTTCCGTGCTGTGTTCGCTCAGTACGGATGCAGGAACTTGCCACTGCTGATGTACTACCGGTAGTACAGTATTGGTAGAGCTAGCTAGCTACCAATGACTGAGTTACAAGTATCTTTTCTGTACTAATCATTGGTTCTACTAGCACCTAATTGTCTTGCTTTAGAGCTTGATGCAAAGTGGCAATGCCTTGCTGTGGCATCTTGTTTTCAAGACTGACTTGGATCCTTCTCGTAGAGCTCAAATAATAATATGTAGGGGGTGATGCCGCTGCAGTGGTTCAAAAGCTGCAAAAGCTTAACAGGTAGGTGTAACTCATTGCAAACACCTCTGTGGTTGCTTTGTTGTCTCTGTAGAGTTGTTTACAATACAAAGCTAGTTGAAATGACGACCACGTTAGTCGTCCTCCAATGTTCTACGCCAGTTACATCAGTTGCACGCCAGTTACGTCAGTTACACTACGCTAGTTACGCTAGTTACGTCAGTTACTCTAGTTACGCTAGTTGAAGTGCCCCGAATTTTGGTGCAGTGCGGTGCGAGGACGGTGCAAGAGAACTGCACCGGCACCAAATTATGGCACCAAATTCAACTGACCCAGTTTGTATTTCCAAATAAGTGAGCAGTTATTGATTATTTTCTAGAATAAGCCTGCTAATTGTAAAGCTGTAAAGCTGAATTGTAAGCTGTATCCCGTCGCACTCCCTTACAGCTGAAATGAAGCTGTAGCAAGAAACGATAGGAGAGAGTCCCAGCAAAAGTGCTGAGGTAAATTACCATCCCATGAAGCTTCCGAATGACAGCAAATGTGGAGCGGAAGACCCTTAGTAAAAATGTCGGCCCGTTGTTCCAGAGTCGGAATATACTTAGCAACGATGCCCTTCGACTCTCCATATTGGACCTGAAGAAGTGATACTTCAATGCCAAATACTTGTGCGCGCAGACATTTTGGGAACATTCACAAGAACAGGCAACCTTGGTTTCTTCGAACACTGTAGAGCGCACGAGACTGTCAGTAATTACCGGCATATTCAGTTTGCTACCAATTTCTTTGAGCAAAGCTCGCATAGGAAGCAGCTCCCTCATTGACATGCTGAAGGCAACATACTCAGCAGCAGTGGAGCTCAAAGTAATATCAGTCTGTAGCTTGCTGGACCAGATAATAGGGCAACCAAACAGAGTCAGGACAAATCCAGTGCGAGACTTGACGGACAACAGGATCCTGTTCATCCTCATATCCATACAATCCGGCAAAGTCAGCATCGACCCAACAGTCAAGTCCCTGATCAAGTTTAGGGCTAAAAACAAATGCCTTTGTCACTTGTGCCAATCAAATACCGAATGATACGTTTGATTGCTTGAGCATGGGAATGCCTGGGATTGTGACTGAATCGTGCACCTGGTGCACACTAAATGTGATGTCTGGGCGAGTGTTCGACGCAATATAAAGAAGCATCCCAACTGCAGCTGGATAGCTCCACTCTTCTTCAAATGGGGCCCCCAGTTTGTCAGCTCCGAGAGGATCGGTGGCGGCAGGAGAAAGCTTCTTGCTAGCGTCAGACATACCAGTATATTCGATGACTTTATTGATGAGCTCTCTTTTGAGTAAGCTCAACATTGTCTCCCTGTCTTTCAAAATTAATGCCGAGGAATCCAAAGATGTCACCTTTTTCTTCCATAGTGAGTCATATCCAAGTTTCTGGAGCTGCCCAACATAGGACTCAATCAGATCATTGTCTGGACTGAGCCAGATTTGGTCATCACAATAATTTAAATACTTTAATACCATGAGTTGATGCCTTATGAATAAACAAACATGGGTCTGCTGCCGAGGTTTCGAAACCAAGTTGGATCATCCCCGACATAGATGTCATAAAAAATTTAGGTGAATCGGTTGCCATAGATGGACTTGCAAGTTTCAAAACACAGTCCTGTCCTTCATAGCCTTTGGGTCGATAGTATTGAGGCAATTCCATGTACAGTGGCTGGTCGACAGGCTGAGGGCTTTGACAGAAAGCAAGAGTAAAATCAACTTGTCTCGATTCCCATCTGTGCAGCTGCAAGAAGAAGACGGCTCTAACGTGGGCCACCACAAGTGGAGAGTACGCGACGCCTTCATAGGACTGAAGGTCTCCTCTGCAGCACCATCTAGATTTGAACTTATTTAATTGTCCGTCTGGTAACCTCTTAATTCGTGCACCCATGTTCCAGGAACCGCTTTAGGTGTGAGGGCATAGAAACGCTGTACGATGTGCCAATCCCTTTGCCTTCAAGCTGGAATTTCTTTGTCCATGCTGCCAGAAATGGTCTGAATGTGGTCCCATCAGAGATCCTTCAGAGAGGGGAGATCAGGGTCTTTGGAAATTTTGGCCTTGAGAGCCAGTGGGCTTTGAAGAATGCCAGGATGAAATGATTCCTGGGTGTTGTCAAAGTGAATAACCATTCACCTGAAGATTGCATCATGTGCCCAAGAAATTGGAGTAACTCCAAAGGTAAAAGCTAAAGCACAACTCAAACAAGGGATGAAGGACGGCATATGTCTTCAACTTTGGGTCCATGTTCAGAGTCTCAGGCTTCTTGCTGTGGGCTGTTTACTGGGATTACGACGAGGGCAGAGATTGGCTCGATTGGACATCAGTGGTGGGAGTGCTGATGTGGGAGGCTCCCTGTCCCAAGAAGAGGGTAATTTTGAGTCTGAAGTGGTGGCAGACGATCTGGAATCTCCCTGTGCGAAACCTGGCGTGTGGTGAACGGAGCTTGAAAATAAATCATCCCTTTTATCTTTGCTCTTGTCATCCTGCCATAATTTCTCCCATGTCGAAGCTTCTGAAGATGAGATCGTGCTGGTTGAGGCCTTTTCCTCTGGAGTAAGCCATCTCGTCTGTAAGGGAGGTGAGTGTCCTCATCAAATAGGGTCTCGAAGCGTTGTGAAGATGCACATGTTGGTCCACTCTAGAGGTGGTTGATTTTCTGAAGAGTAAACTGTTTCAAACCAATCATCATGACAAGATGGTACTGAGGAAAGGTATCCGTTTGTAAGGTTGCG